CTTGAAAGTCACTGGGTCGAATTGGGAGGCCGGCGAGTCCATCCACACCAAGAGCAAAACGATCAGCACGAAGGCCTGCAGGTTTGCAGTTCTCGCCCCCCAAAACGGATCCCCTTTTTTGAGTTCCAAAGTGGGCCCTTTTTCGCTCCCCAAGGGACCTTTTTAATGGAAGGTTACTTTGCCAAATAATTTGAGCAAGGGGATCCATCTTCGAGCCACCTTTGAACTTTTAGAGCACCGCTTGCGCACGCACGCCTTTGAGACTCCGAGCTTGCGAAGCCCAAACAGCAATTGCGCCAAGGCAAGTTCCTTCATGGCTTGGACGCGTTGGCCAAAGTGGCCGAGTTGCAAAAATGGCTAAAAACACGCCTGCGGTCAAGCGCTGCTGGCCAGAATGTACTGTTCAATGTGGGTTCGAGTTGAAAATTGCTTGCACTAACACATGCCAGGTTGACTGGTCATCGGGAGAAGCCCCCGCTTGGCCAAGCCCCTGTGGCCAGCCAAGGGGTGTGCCGCAGAGTGCTGGGCCATAAGCCTGCGAGGGGGCGGTGTCACACACATTTGGCATTGCTCAAAAAGGAAGGTAATGCACGTTAGAACTGTTTACCTGCCGCCGTCTCTTTTGCGTCGGCTCTCGGTAATGCATGTGCTTTCCCCAGCGTAATCACGCGTTCCCCCAGCCCATAGGGGCATTGGTAAGATTTTGCGGCACTTAAATCAAAGCGCTGCAAGCATGTGGAGGTTCCCTAGACTCAGCTTTCACACAGACACATGCGTTGCATGCGCTCCCTCACAAGGACTGCTCGCAGTCCCTCTTCAATGTCTCTTTGGAACGTTCAAAGTTGGCCAATGCGGTGGCCAAAGGTACACCAGAGATCCACTCCCGGGCCTGAGCAGGCTCGTGTTAAAACAGGCAGGCAGCCCTAACTGTGCAGTCCAGCGGCAGTCTGGCAAAGCAAGTCCACACCAAGACCCATCTTCATGGGCAAAGCCTTCGCGTAGCACACCTGCAGGCGAGCGCCGTGAGCAACTTCATCAAGGCTGGTTGGCGGGAGGGTTGGCAAACCAGGCCTGCTTCAAAGCCCCATCCTTATAGGTGGACATGCTGACGGCGCTCCGGGACCAGTAGATAATGATCTTGCACTTGCCCGCGAGCTTGCTCTTGTTGAATTTGGCAACTTGGGACTTGAGAGCTAGCGTAGCTGGCGAATGCTGGAACTTGGCGCGCTTGGCCTCCAGGGGCTTTCTGCAACTAGCGCGAAGCGCAACCAAATGTTTTTTTTCGAAGCAACAAGCACAGCTAGGCAAACAGGTTCTCGCGTCTGGCCTTGGGCTGGTCTTCCGTTTCCTTGGCGGCCAAGGCAGTTGCTGCGCGCTTGGGTTTGTTGGGCGTGCGAGGCAGTTCCTGCGACGCTTTCTTGGGGCTGGGTTGCCACGCGCGTCTGACCCTGCGAGCTTTTTTCTGCCGCTTTGTGCACCGCTGCTTGGCGGGGCTTGTGTTGCCGCGCGCCGTCTTGGATTTGCGTTTGTTCTTGCGCCCTTGGCTCTTTTGCTGATGCCTGATGCCAGCATCAGGCAGCTCGTTGTCCGTGGCTGTGACTTTCTTGTTGGCACTTGGCTCCGGACCGTCTTGTGCCTGTGGCATGTCCTGCGCTGTCACTGTCTCTGACAGCCCTTTTTTCGCCTTTGATTTGCAAGCGGTCGCCTTCTGCGCCTGCGCGTTTTTCTTGGCTCCTTGTGCCGTTTTCTTGGCAGCTTTCAACCCGATTTGCTGTGAGCGAAGCAGTACCTTAGGCGACACGCGCGCAAGGCAAAAAATAATTTCGAACCATGCTTCAGAGCCAAGGTGCAGGAATAGGCTGCAACTCAGTGGACTGGTCCAAACTTTCCAGACCAGCCTCCGCTGGCTTAGGTGGTGTTTGGCTCAAGGGCATAGTCTCCGCGTTGTCGTGCCCGTAATGCGGGGGAGCACCTGGCACAATTCTGCCAGCAGCAAGTGAGGTTGTGTAAAACCCCCCTTGGTTGTATATCACCTCTTCAGGCTATCGTGAGCAACCTTGTAAAAGTGGCAGCTCCAGCTCGGAAATGGCAACCTTTGAGTACTCTGGTGTGTTGTGTGTGCGGATGCGATTTGGCAGCTCCACCTCAAGAGTCGCAACTTTCCAGCCGTGGCAATCGCTGCGAATGTGAGGAAAGTTGTGGAAACGTTAGTGTTGTCGTTTTCGTTTTGATGCCGCTTTGTTGCCCTATCAAGTTCATTCGAAAGTACCCTTCCGTGCAGCTTACAAGGCTGCTTTATGGGTCTGTCTTTTTTGAGGGTATCCCCTTTTGGGCCGGTTTGATGGGAAACGAAGGGCTCCATTTTGCCGGGCCTTCGAACAAAGAAACGTACCCTTTTTGAAGTGTAAAGCGGAGCAATTTTGGACATAAGGGACCTCTTTCGAATACGATACTTGTATCAACCGAATTTACACAACCTCCGCTAATCGCTACCGGGGCGCTTTCGGACTGGAACACGGACTCTCGCTGCTGCCTGGGAAGCAGCTGCAAAACAATTGAAACCAAACAGCGGGTGCCAAATATTGTTCACACCTACCTTTTTGTCACACGGTGCTGCGGAAGCACGTGCTGCCAAAATACTCCTCGGCTGCCTTATTTAATTGTCCGCGAAGGATTTTGATTTGAGCCAGCAGGTGTGCCCTTTCTTGCAAGGCCGGGTCCTGATCCGGAGCTTCCTCCTCGGAATGGATGAGGATTGCGTCAGGCTGGGCTGCGGGAATCTGGGCTTCGCTTTCAACCTCGGTGGGGGTGAAAGTTCTACCCGGTGTGCTCTGAGAGTCTCTGGAAGCAGTTGAGGCTTCCCAAAGACGTTGCTTCAGCTCCTGGATTCTGTCCTTCATCAGCGCTTCCTTTAGGGGTGGGGTGTCCAGAAATGCTTTGGCTGGCGGAGTGCACTGAGTGTCTGGGATAGTGTCAGGCATGTTGACGTGTTGGGTGTCGGAGACGGCCACTGGGGCTTGCTCATCCTGCGAAGCCTCATCCATGCCCGCATCATCATCGTCATCTTCATCGTCGGATCCAGCCTGCCTGCCGCCAGGTCCTTTGATCCCGCGGTGCGGGTAGTTGGCCTGCGGCGGGTGCACTGACACCAGCGGACACCGTGGAAAAATGAGTCCCTGGCGATTTCGCCGAAAAGCTGAATGATCTCCAGGATCCTGTTGTCCTGCAGGGGTCCCAGAACAAGTTGGGTCCCGTTTGCCGGGAGGGTGACCACTTGCAAACTATAAGTCTGTTGGCCGGCTTATTTCTTTGGGTCTCTTTTTGCTTATGCCCTTGTCCCGGGGCTGGTGCCCGCGAACAAAGCGCCCTCTTGCAAACAGGACCAGGTTCTTGATGGACGTAGTCACACAGTAGACACGAGCTGCAACCTCATCCGGGATTTTCACCTTGAACAAGGTGCCCTCCGAAACATTGTGGAACTCGTTGACGATGCTGTAAAGCATTTTGATTTGTTCTTCAACTGCTGTTTTGGATGGGGGCTTCAAGCATCCACAGGCCTTCATTCTCTGAATCAAGGGCCCAACAATGCACCTGTTCATCACACAGTGATCCGCATCCTTGGAAGCAATTGGCAATCCATTGGTGGTGCAAACCAGCTCACCAATATCTTTGCGGCCCAATCGCCCGCGAACTTCAGCATCTTGCCACCACTCCCTTGCAAGACCATTCAGCCGAACTTGGTTCATCGCTGACCACAAGTCTTGGGCACCAAATCTGCAAGATAGACGTGGTAATCACCACAAAGCCGAGAAAATGGGAATGTGTCCAAACAGGGGGTTAAAACGAGCTTGTCTTCGGGGCAAGTCTTTCCCCCAAAGCAAAACACGTGTATTGAAACATTGGCAGGTTGCGCATGGCAATAGGCAGAGCGGGGATGGACCTTGAATTCAGACATCGCGTGCAAACATGTGGCTGTTTTCCTGGGATACTCAAGCGTTTGGCTTGGCGCTCATTGTTGGCAACTGCCAGTTCTTGTCTTTGTTCTGGGCCGTTTCCTCAAATCAGGGGTGGTGGGTGTCGGCTTAGAGGATTTAACAGATTTTCTTAAGTCAAAATATGCTGTGGATCTAACAGATCCCTGGAGCCACTTCCAATTGCGGCGTACATGAGCATCAGCATGCACTCCTGGCAGATGCAGGGCGGGTAAGTGAGGCGTTGTACCACTTTTTTTGGTCATACGGGCAGAAATGTCTAAACCCCCCCATAATATAAACATACGGCCAAAATGCTGCAAATACGGCATTCGACCAAAAAAAAGTGGTAAAACGCCTCCCCAGGTCCATTTGTAGGTGGGTGAAATGAGGTTTCTCACTTGGGCAGTGAGCTCTTGTATGGCTCGTTGGAAGACACAAAGTGACTTTGAACCTCCTCGCTTGTGGTACTTGGCAGGTGCCAGGCTGCGGCTTGGCTTCCATTGGGCTCAAAAGAGCCATGCCGATTTCTTTGGGTCTTGGCAAAGAGGGGATTTGGGCCGCGGCAGGTCACGCAGACGCAACTGTGAATGCGCATCCGGATGTCCAGCCAGAAGAGGAATTTGGGCCATGGCCAGGATAGACGGAATGGATGTCTTATGATTCAATGGTGTTTTGTTCAGACACCAAACGGACTTGTCGAAACAAACGCGCACGCAGAAAAAGAACATGCAGGCTTGGTATGAACGCCTAGTGCCTTCAAACTGTTCGTCCCCAAAGCGGTCCAGAATGAAATTCCATGGCTTCAGTGCAGGTTTGCCCTGCAAAGGACAGTTGTCTTAAAGGGTCAGTTGGCGCTTTCACGTTTGGTGCGAGGGTCAACCAACCTGGACCCTCAAACTACCTATAAAAAAGGGATTCCACCAACCACAAATTTGGGGCAATATCTATTTTGTCAGGGAAGTTTGAGAGTAAACAAACATCTTTTCTGGCTTCTGTTCGAATTAAAGCCGAAGTCAACTCACGGAGGAGCCCGAGAAGCCGATTCCGGCGGCGGCGGTTCCGCCGGAGGCGGCTCCGCATCTGCTTGTGTCTTGTTTCAGCGTTTCCTGGGGCTTGGTGGCTCCAGAGGAAATCTGGGGGAGACTTAGGATACGTGTTACATGTTACCAGTGACTCACTTTGTGAAGCAGACAATATACATTCTAGAACTGGGCCCGACTCTAATCATGAAATGGGTGTGGAGTCTTTTTTTGGAGGGTGCCCCCGTTTGGTGGTTTTTAAAAGGACAAACAAAGGAAACGAAAAGGACACCCTCCGATTGGGGTATTTCGAGACAAACCCAAAGCATCCATTTTCATGGTTTCTAGTTTAGAGATTTTGCAGCACGTACAAAGTGAAACAGAAGCGTTCTTTGCAGCATACAGAAGCGTTTAGAGGAATACGGCGGGATGAACCGCACCTAGTATTCCTTACAAAATGTAAGGGGGAGGGGGGATTTTTGTGGGATCCTTTTCATGGTTGTTGTTGGGCAGCATTTTACAGTTTCGCTTGTTGTGGTTTAGTGGGATTTCCCCACTTGACTGCTAAAGTTTATTTATTTTGCTCCCCTTCCAACGTCAACAAAGCTTTTGTCGGTTGGTGTGAAAGGCAAGCCAAAAGGAAAGAATGCATGTTGGCCATGGTCAAAAGACTGTTCGCAGGGATGGTCATCCTGGTAGTGAGAATACTTAAAAGAAAGCCACGCTCATGATTCCTATATCAGTGACAAATGGCCATAGGCTTCATGAGCAGTTTTGACCATGGCTCACATTGACATGGTGCGTCCCTGTACTTTGGAGATGCCCCGCTGAGAACTTTTATGGCGGGTCTCAACGCGTTCATGTTGAGCCCGACAAGCATAGCTTGCCGGACATTAGGAAAAACGTCAAACTGAAAGTTTGCCATAGTTCTTGCCCCACTTATCCTTTTGGATTCCCTTGAATAAGTGAAAACTATGGCAACTTAAAGGACAACTGTTAGCGAACGCCGTTGGAGGTGTCTACATTCGGAGTTCGTGGCTTAAGAGGGTGTTGTATGTTAGCCATCAGCCTTATCCCTTAGCTGCCCCGCCTATCACAGGGCTGTAGAGTGTCTTGGGAAGTGCGGCAGGAGTATTGCTGACTGTTCAGCATGGTTGTATGCTTGTATCCTGTGCCTTTGTCGCTTTCAAAAGATCACACTGAAGCGTGCAGGACAACAATCATCAGAAATCCTTGCATTTGCGGGTCCCCTTTTTGGACATTGATGCCGCTGCCGCCTTTCAAAGGAAATGCAACAAAAAAGAAGAACACTATGTTTCACACTCCCCCCATTTAGGCAAAGCCGGGGCCCTCGGTTGTCCGCAGGCGGAAGATGCTTCGAAGACGAAGAAGCGAAAGGACCATGGGACAGTGGGAGAGTTGTATTTTGCTTACTAGGGTTTCCTTGCTGGAGGGCGGCCGTTTGGGGGTCCGGCGTATGAAACACATTGGGGTCCACTTGGATGTGCGACCCACTCAAGCAGCTCATAGTCATGGTTGTTGTTGGGACACATTTTTTTCATTTTTGCTTATTGTGGTTTAGTGGGACATCCCCACTCAACTGCTAAAACTTTATGTTTTGCTCCCCTTCCAACGTCAACCAAGTAGTCATGGCTACAAATGCGACAGGAGTTGGTGTACATATAGCCACGCGCTGTCGCGCGGCTGGACTCAGCGGTAGGGGCCGAGATGCAACAGACCTCGAAGGTGCCGTTAACACCGCTTCATGGGTACCTGAGAAAACCCATGAGAACTTTTAGCTGGATTTCTGGAACGACCATTCTCTTAGTGTGATCATTTTATGGGTCGGTTTGTAACAGACCTCTCTACGTGCATTGTGTTATCTCTCTGAACCCCGCACACAAATGCTCAACTGCACAAAAGGGTTTCAGTTGTTCCAGGGTCAAATGAGGGTTCAAATAGGGGGCCATTTCTTTTGGTTGGGCATGGCATTTTGGGTGCAGGTAGCTTCAGCGGTCTCCACAAGCAAAGTCATATTCCCAAAGATGTTCTTTAAAAACACAAAGGAGAAGCATTCAACAGTTGCCTGGGTCGGTCTTTTTTGAGGGCACCCAATGTTTGCAGTTTCAAAGGGCAAGCAAAAGGCAACCAAAAGATGTGCCAACCAACGAAGATTCAGCTTGCCTTGCCTTTGCCTCGCGAGGCACGGGCCAAAGTGAAGCCTGCGAAGGCTGGAATGGGTAAACCCAGGGCTGGTCTTTGGGGCCGTGTGGAAGATGGCAGTTCCATTCCCTGGGTTTCCAAAGTTCATGATATCGATGGCTGACTGGCAAAGTGCATTTTTTTGGAAAAGACCAAGGCATGGAAGCTACAGCAGCTGATCATTTGTTTTGCGGGGAGAGCAACCCAGAATCCGACCACTTCTCGTTGTTTTTTTCCCCGATTTTATCCACCGTGCCCTGCTTGGGGCAAACCAAAAACAGAGACTTATTTCAGAATTTCAGGTCCATGTTGAGGTGTGTTGGTTTGCTGTTTGGTTCCCCGCGTATTTTTCGAGCATGTTTGGTATTCGATCATGTGGGGAAGGAGTTTTGGATAGCCGTTGGGTCGCCCTGCCCGGGATGGCAAGGGAAGCCAAAAACAAGAACTGGGTGTCCGGTCCTACCTGAAAGAGCAGCTCTTGTCCACAGCCCCCAAGATTGAGCCAGAAATCGCATGCCCAAATCGCAGGCAGAATGTTTGGAGTGGCCGTGCCATGCGGCCCACATGTTGGCCGAACTGAAGTGGGCCTGTTGAGTCAACACAGGAGTTCTCAAGACAAACAGCAACAAACAGGTCTTGCAGTGCGATTTCCTGAAAGGGTTGCGGTTCCAATCCAACCGCCAGCCAGGACATTTGTCCCTGTTTCTCACTCCCCTGAGTTCCTCAACTTTGAACTTGTTGGGAACGCAATTTGAGTGGCAAACAAAAGTTTTGTTACTTTTCCTGGTGGCTCCCAGCCATCCCCTTAGTTTTTTAGCTTTTTAGGTTTTAGTGGCTATTTCCATTCAACCCACTAAAATAAAAAAAGAAGAAAAAAACCTTTTAGCAGGGGATTCGAAAACGGGCAGCCCGTTGTTTTTGGCCCGTCGACTCAGTATGTGAGGTTTAGTCAAAAGCGCCTTCGTCCTCCCAGCTGGGATTTCCTTGCTGTCAGCTGGGACCTCCCACGTTCATCCAAAAGCATCCAGAAGCAGGTTCTGTGTTTGCTACAAATGGACCCCTCCAGTTTGATGTTGATGTCCTTTGGACCAGATGAAAGGAGTCTGTGGCACTGTGGCTTTCCTTTGGTTCCTGGTTCCTAGACCCTCGAACTACCCTTGTGAGACATGCGAACTCGCTCATAGCTTCTAGGGACATGTCCCGTTCAGGGAAATCAGTTTGAGGGTCCAGGTCTCGAACATGGAACCCGACAGTGAGGGAGACGCCTACCCGCACTCATGGAGCGAAACTCAATGCGGCACCGAGCCGCAAAGTGATGCAGAAATTGTATCAGGCAGTGTCCAGCACTGGGCTGCAGTATGCAATGCAAGGCCTTGAGCCACTGGCAGGGTGCTGCAAGCAATGCTATCTTCACCTCATCCCAAGCTTGGTTTGGTTTGGTTTGGTTTGGATGTTGGGGGGTGTCTTTTCATCTGACTTGGACCAGCCCATTTACTGACACGACCCAGCCTGTTTCCTGACTTCGTCCAACTCGTTTCCTGACTTTGTTTCCTGACTCGCCCCTCACCCGCCTTTTCCGTTGAAAAGTAAGTCTGGGGTTCAAATTTTACCACCCCATTCCTAGGTCCCCCAGTAGTGCCCTTTCTCACCCCTTTTTTTGGGGGAGAGTTCCCCTAAAGTAGACGCAAAAAGGTTGGTACCCATATGGGTATGGCTCACAAAACCGGTACCAACATGGAAGCCTGGTAAGTGGACACATGGACCAACTGCGGTTTGCCCCTAGCTCTTCAATTTTGAGCCGCAGCCATATTCTAAGCTCAAACTACTGGAGGACTTAGACCCTCCACTCCGCCAAGAAGCCGAAGTCGACTCGCAACCCCTCGCGAGGCCTGCGCGCAGATCTCACCCAGCAAGCCGCTCACCGGTCACGCCGGAGGTGGGATCTTCACCCGTGAGGTTTCGGGTTTCGGATCGCTGTTGAATTGAGTTCATTGGGTAACTAGGTCCCCCAGTGCCCTTCTCTCCCCTTTTTTGTTGGGAGATTCGGTTCCCCTACTAAAATAGACTACAGAACAAAAATCGGGTACCCTTATTCTAGCCTCTCTGGAGGACCTAGGTAAACTAACAGGGATCCTCCGTTTCCCTTGCAGCCTCCAAAAGTGGCAGGACTAAATGCAGACTGCATGATTTTGTTGATTGGTTGGGGATGACATCGACATCAAGCTCTGGGCCGCACATCAACTGCACCTGAAGCAAACTGCACTGGGCAATCATCCATGGTGAGTCTTCTGAGGCTCAGTACCCCGAAAGTTTCGGGGTACTGTGGAGGGTTGCGAATTCCATTTCGCACCTTTCGGAATCCCAACGGTTTCTAATTCGATCCCCCCACCAAAATACCACGAAGCAAGTCATGGTTGCCATTTTTTGGTGCGAACGGAGATTGGTCCATCCGCAGGTGTTTGAGGGAGAAGCAAAGGGAAGCCACTCTTTGGGTTTCTCCAATTCAGACTGAAAGCTGGATGCTCATCAGGCGACTGAGCTCCACGTCTGGACATAACGAGCTCATCGATTCGGGGGCAAAGCGAGGGAAAACCCATGAATCAATACAAGGGCTTACCTTCCAATGATGCCAATGATCATGACTTAATCTAGTTGTGTGGTACCAGCCTCTTGTATTTGTTTGTTTGGATCCGCTTGCGCGAGGCTTCTTCCAGATCTCCCGGTCCACTGACAGCCCGCCGCCAAAGACTACGGAGCCAGCTGAGGCGGCGGCACCGAATGGACGGAGCATGTGTGTGTGTGTGTGTGTGTGTGTCTGCTGCTTGTCTCTCTGTGTGTGTGCACCTGTTGTTGTGGGTTTGTTTTTTGGTTTGGTTTGTGCGTGCGTGCGTGCGCGGCGTGCGAGGGTATGCGTGTGTCTGTGTGTGTGTGCCTGTTGTCAACTTCGGGTCAAGTCAGAGGGTCATAGCAAGTGAGGGCTGTTCCCGTGTTCGTGGGGAGTTGTTTCATGCAGCATTCCTTGGATTTGATGAGCGTCCTCCAGATGTCGGAAGTTAAGATTATAAGCCCCTGCATAACCGACACCCCAGCAATAGAATGGCACCAATTTATAGCATGCTCAACTGGGGCAATAAGAATCATGAGTTCACGCATGGTGAAAATTCCTTATAGTGCCTATACCCAAAGATTCCTTCATTCAAGTGTGAATTGTAGTAATTCGCCTTGATGTTTGGAACAATCCGGTTGTTACATACAGGTATGCTAATGGCATATTCTGCTGTGGTGCGTGGTTGCTTCAGGTCACGCCGGAGAAAACTGCGATGGAGCAAAGCGACAAAGAAGCCACGTCCCGCGCTCGGCCGAGCGCGGGCGCGCGGTTGCCGGAATGGGCCCAGTGGGTTGGTGGGGTCCACGCTTCGAATCTCTAATGTTTTGTTGTTCACTAAAAAATGGAAGACCCAAAACAGACTTGGTTCGAGTTCTTTTCTCATGTTGGCAACTGGTTGGTTTTTTCAGAAGTCTTTTCTAGCACGCAATGCACCAGCCGAAAACCAATGGTGGATGTTCACGTGGATTTGAGGCCCGAGCAGCAGAAGGAGCTGGCTGGACTGCGGCAAAGCATCCAGCAAGCCGTGAAGCTAAAGCTCTATGGCAAGGCCACGGCCAGCGCGGAAGGGGTGTGATCAGGAAAGACGCCGATTCCACCCGTGGGTCGGCGTCTTTTTGGAGGATGCCTCTTTTGTTTTATAACAGAATCCAAGGGAATATGTTGTTGTTTGGCAATCTAAAAGAATCAGTTTGGTGGTTTCTTTTTGAGGGAATCCACAAGAATCAGTTTTTGTTTTGGGAATAAAACATAATCAGTTTGTTGGTTTCTTTTTGAGGGAATCCACAAGAATCAGTTTTTGTTTTGGGAATAAAAAATAATCAGTTTGTTGGTTTCTTTTTGAGGGAATCCACAAGAATCAGTTTTTGTTTTGGGAATCAAACATAATCAGTTTGTTGGCTTCTTTTTGAGGGAATCCACAAGAATCAGTTTTTGTTTTGGGAATCAATCATAATCAGTTTGTTGGCTTCTTTTTGAGGGAATCCACAAGAATCAGTTTTTGTTTTGGGAATCAAAAATAATCAGTTTGTTGGTTTCTTTTTGAGGGAATCCACAAGAATCAGTTTTTGTTTTGGGAATCAAACATAATCAGTTTGTTGGTTTCTTTTTGAGGGAATCCAAAAGAATATTGTTTATTATTATTCAGGGGATCAAAAATAACCTGTTTTGTTTTAGGGAATCCAACGGAATCTGTTTGTTGGGTCGGTTTTCAGGGAATCCAACAGAATATGTTTGTAGTTTTTCTTTTTTCAAGGGAATCCAAAAGATTCTGTTTGGTTTTGAAGGGAATCCAAACGGATTCGAAAAGGACACGGGAGCCATTTGGGGGAGTCCGATTCAAAAGAAGGCAAACAGGTCCCCGGGGCTGAAGCCCAAAACCAATTGCAAGGCGACCCGGCTCGATTGAGATTTGACTGGGGGAACAACCCTAATCCCATATCCCAGTTGCTTGCTTGAAGGCCCAAACAGGGAAGCCCAAAGTTTTGGTTAATATGTTGACTCGCTGTGGAGTGAGTATATTAGACGGAATTGCATAGAAAGGCCTTTCGTTGGATGTGGAGGACGGAGTCCGACTTTGAGTGACTCGTTGAAAGGGTTCAAATGGCTTCCTGTAGAATTCCCTTGGCGCAAGCGATCTGAACGCTGTTCAGGGTCTGAGTTCCTGTCCTGACTTAAGCATTCTATGACTTCCCGAGCTGCTTCCTATTTCTCCCTCCCACCATGCCACATCTGGTCAAGCAGGATTCTTCTACACCTCAGGACCTTGACAACACTTGGTGGCAAGCCATCCAATTCCTTAGCCTTTTTAAGTCTTAGGGCTTGGTGCTTGGATTTCCATTGGTGCATTTTGCTTTGATGCTAGGACTTTAACTTTCTGCCAACTGATGGGTTTTCCATTAAACCAAACTTTTAGCAGGGGAGCAGAAAGCAACCGAGGAAACGTATGGGTCCATGCAAATTAAGACGAGTTCTTTTGCGAGCGATTTCATGCAAGACAGTTCACCGGAAAGCTTCCGTGATCTTCCGTTATTTCTTGTTGGGGAAGAATGGTTATTTGTAATCGGGGGGTTTTGCCAGAATAGGAATCAGAATACGTTATTTTGTTTGGTTCCTGTAGGTTTTTCTCTGCACGCCTTTCCACTGGTTGGTCCACCATTTGGATCTGTGTTTCTTTGCGTCGGGTGACCCACATCAGTTGTGTTTGTGCTTTTGGTTTCCCACTAAAGCCAAACGACACACACACACACACACACATTTGGGTGTGTCGTTTTGTAGGGGGGACCCCCAAATTGTGGTTTTCCTTCTGGTTTCCCACTAAAACCACAACAAGAACGAGGCGAGCCAACTCCAACAAAGACGAGCCACGCATGAGGGTTTGCTATCCCGCTTCCCAGGGGTTCCCATCGAATTTACACGGCCCCGTCGTTGTGCGGAGTACCCCCTGGCTGTTGGATTTTAGCGGGAATCCCCAAAAGGACGCCGTGGCCATTAGTTTCGGGTCCCCTCGAAAGACCACACCCATGGAATTACGTAGCTTTTGGAAGCCGGAGTCTTCTGCCGAGAATCTCATGAGAACTCATATCTCTATATATATATATATATATATATGGTATCTAGGTGTGCCTTCTCCAAACCGCAGTAAACCCAGGGTCCATGGGGAGGCTGCATATATATATATATATACTCGTCCGGTTCATTCCCACATGCTCTACTCTACTGACCAACAAGAATATGGAAGATTTGGTTCCACTCGAAGCTTGCCCCGTCACCCCGTCTCTCCAGGCGAAGCTCCTGCACCACCGCCTTCTGGCGCGCTGCCGCGAGATCGGCTGCGCCGTGCCCAGGATCGACCGAGCGACCGACAAGCGGAGGGTCGAGTGAGGCGACCCAAAATTCTGAGGGATGTAGCATGTTGTTTGAAGGTTGATTGAGGTGGAGGTGGACTTGTTGAAAATTCGAGTGGTCGAGTGAGGTGGATTTGTTTGAAGGTGCATGATTGTTTTGTTCTGAGTTCATGGACTTCAAACTTTTGGGGATTTTGGACCATGTTAGTGGTAAATCAAAAGTTGACTTTTTGGCCAGACCACTCAGGGAGTGAGTTTAAGGTACTGTATGTGTTTCAAGGTTGATTTACTGTGTGCATGTGTGTGTGTGTGTGTGTTTATTTTTAAGTTGGTTTTAAGGTTGGTTCAAGGTTTGTTGCCCTTGTTATGTTTGGGCAGGGGAATCCACAGGACAACCGTTCAAATAGGGCCCCCCAATGACATCAACCCATTTACTTGGTGTATTGTTTGTTTGTTTGTTTGTTTGTTTGTTTGTTTGTTTGTTTGTTTGTTTGTTTGTTTGTTTGTTTGTTTGTTTTGTTTGTTTGTTTGTTTGTTTGTTTGTTTGTTTGTTTGTCTGTTTGTTTGTTTGTCTGCTTGTTTGTTTGTTTGTTTGTTTGTTTGTTGCTTGTGTGTTTGCTTGCTTGCTTGTTTGTTAGTTTGCTTGTTTTTTTTTTTTTTTGCTTGTTATTCTGATATTGTTTGTTTGTTGGTTGGTTGGTTGGTTGGTTTGGTAACTTTGGTGTGGTTGTTCTTTTTTGTGTTCGCGCCCCATATGTGCATCGGTCAAAGCACCACGGCTGGCAGGGAGGTCATGGACCTGTTTGAGTTGCCTTGAGCAGGATGGCGAGCTCATGATTCGGGGGTAAAGCGAGCTCATGGCAAGGATTGCCTACTTGGGGGTCCAACTCTTCGTTCAGCTTAGGGAAATACTTTGTAGATGTCGCAGATTAAAGGGAGATTGGACAGATGTAAGAAGGGAAGCATCATGACACACGTCCAGAAGTTTTGATCATGGCACAGACGAGTCTGGACGAATTGAAGCTTTCTTTTTAAATACCGGGAGTGGCATTGGGGTGTGTTTTGTTTGCAACCAAGTGGTTGCATTGGCATCGCCAACTTCATCGGAATAATCCATTGGGCTCCATGCAGTGTGGAGCCTAAAGCTCGAGATTGCTGGAGAGGGCTACCAGTAGCAATACCCTCGTGTGACTTCAAGGAGACACCCTGGGGGTCAACCCCCATTAAAATAATGGTTGACCCAGCTCACCAGCCAGCCTGTGGATGAATAAACCCGTCCAATTAATCAGGGTTGGGGCCCCTCCGAAGGAATAAACTTGGTTGATGAATCTGGGGCAACATTCGCCACCCCAAGATTTTTGTGTTTCTCTTCGGGGAACCGTCTGACAAGAGAGAAGCTTTGGGAAACCAAGAGGAGGTTTTGCCTCCCCAGCATTTGTGGAAGGGTGCCTGGAAAATCGGATTTCGTCTTGGTACCTTTGGGGTATGGCATGGCAGCCATGCGGGCGGCCATTTTGGTAACGCCAGGGCGTCGCAGCCTGCTGCGGGCAGGAAGGGAAACCGCAAGGCCAGGGAGGGAAGACCCGGAGTACTCGGATGTTCGGCCAAGTTGCTAAATTAGTAGGCCTCACTCCCTGAGTTCACGGACTTTATTCTTTGTGGGAAGACAATTTAGAAAATAGCAAGTTCAGACGCTTTTTGGCCACTCCACTCGGGAAGTGAGAAGTGGTTAGCCACCCGGGATACCCACGAATGACTGGGCTAATCCCTCTTGAGGAACCTTAAAAGTGGGTTACCTAGGACCCAAGTAAGGACCCCAACAGACCTGGCGCTGCCAGTGGCTCGTTTTTTGCACATGAACATTTGGGAGGCTTGGTGCCATGTTTACCCTTTCACCTTGCCACAACTCCCAGCAAACTACGTCAACCCGAGATTCCTTGACTTGCCGGACATAGCTTATGCCCTCCAACGGTGAATGGAAGGATAGTCAGTGCAGGTGAATCCGCCCAGGCTGGGTTCATGATGCGTCGTACCATTTATATAAGTAGTTTCACACACACACAAGACTTTCAGCCCTTTGCAGCCCCCCCTCAAGCATTCGGCCTTATTTGGCTCTAGGAAGGCTTATTGACCCCTTACCCACCTTACTTTTTTTTTTTTTTTTCCGCCGGGACTTTGGGATTCCTCCCCATTTCATTCTAACAGCATATTTAATGATCAGCATGGCCGAGTTGGTCAATGGGACGGTGTTCTGTTTTTGGGGGGTTCTGCGTGGGGGAACACGGGCACACCATCATGAAGGTTCCTTTGTTAGGGATTTCTCATTTCAGCTTTGCGAACTACAGCAATTTGCCCAGATGGATAACCCTCAACGCAAATTCAAATGCACACAGACTTCCCCACACACACACACACATGTAAGAAGCGTGGCAGATTGGCTTGAACAGGCCACAGTAGCCGCAGTAACCTGGGTGCGGTTGGGTAAAAGCAGCACAATTTTCCCTCACGTTGGTTTAGTCCTCCCCTTTCGCTTAGGAAATTCTGCCGTTACTTGCATTCGTTTAGTCATCCCCTTTCGTTTAGAAAGTTCTGCCATGACTTGCGCCCTCGAGGTTCTGTTGACTCGCACGAGTCATCTCTAAAGCGATCCCAACTCAAAAGCTCCCGTTGAATGGGCGCCCCCAAACAAAAATCACCGAAGGTCAGTTTGTTTTGGGTACCCAGCGTATCCCCCCAACAGTACACACCCCAAAAGGGCCTCAAGGTGTTTTTCATTTAAACCACCCCCTCCATGCCGGTTGGTGTATGGTGAAGCCAATCAAAGGGGGTCCCCTATTCTTTTTGGAAACCGTCAGGGTCAGAAGTCGACTTCCCCAGCTTTGTCAGCCAACGTTCTTTTGTTGATTGCCGAAGATGCTCGACTTATTGTCCACGCGTGATTATCGACCCCTTCCTGATGAAAGACGGTCATTCTTTCAGCCAGCCAACACTACTGAAAGCGGGCCCACAAGGGTTGGGCAAAAAACAGCTATCCATTCTCTTCCCAAAAGCCAAAGCTAGCGCCAACACTTATTCCCTTCATCGTCTTAAGGTTTCTTTCCCAAAATCAACAGCCGGAAACAGCCAGTGTCTTTTTACCTGGACGAAATTCGAGAGATCCCAGCCCAAGTGCAACTCTAGAGCTCGAGGGTCATGGTCGAATGTAAGCCAACCAATTCATCCTGGCCCTCTCCAGCAAGGGAACAACACCGCAGTTTCCTTTCAGAATTTCATTTTCCTACTGCGGGAGAGGGAACCTTTAAAATTCCTCTTTCGTCCAAACCCACAAACCTGATTCAAAGGACAGCCAGGATACATGTGGTAGATCAGTTTCCCCTGCCCACTAAAATGCACTAGAAGGATAAAGCTTAGTCATGGGCATACCGGAATCTGGAGACTGCACTATTTCAATTCCCAAAGGGTCATGACCCCCCGGACCTTTGAATGGAGAACCCCCGACCCCTCAAGGGCCTTCAAAAGCAAACCATTTTGGGCCCAAAATCAATCGGTCAGGAGAAGCCAGGAAAGACGCCCAAGGACGAGGACGCTGGCAATGAACCTGAAGGCCGGCCTCTGGGCGGGACACAGCCTGAGCCACAGGCACCTTGTTTCCAAGACACTAACATGGAACCCTGCAGGACTCATAAAGAGGAAACATGGTCTTTGAGACCCTCCAGCCCGGTTTCCACTTTAATGGGAAAGACAAAGAGAGAGAGAGAGAGAGAGAGAGAGAGCGTCAGAGCGTATTTAACAACTTGTTCGGCATGGACGTTTGATTACTGTTACGTTTCTGGCATAGAGGTTTGGCGTGGATCCCATGGTCTGCAGGGGTTGTGTTGAGAACAACATGACTGGCAGTCTGGCCGGGCGCTCGCTCCTTTGACATCTTTATTGCAGACCCAATGGAACAAATCGAGACGTCGAGTGACAACCTGAGTAGATTATGTCGTGGGCTGTATTTGTGTCTGTCTTTTGTCAGGTACCCTTGTGTGGGGGCTGGACACCAAAAGGAAAACCGTTGCCCGTTTTTTGCCGTCTCAAAAACGACACCCATTTCTCGAACCGAGGTATGCCAATCTTGTCCCGGCTGTGAATTGATTTCTGGGTCTGCCTTCTGGTGTTTTTCTTCAGGTCCTCGATTGGCCTTTGTCCCCTTCCCATAGTCCTCCGAGGAAATGATTTTCCATGTACCTTGCAGGTATTCAATCCGCAATCCGAAGGGCCTGGTTGCCCATTCAGATCAATTCTCGGCAACACACCATTGGCCAGTTACAGGTCTCCAGATCAACCCTGAAGTAAACCTTCATGATAAGCAGGTTCTAATAAACTGCTTGAACCATCAGCGCTGGAGGTGGTAGGATTTGAATGGGCAAGTGGCATACCAACCGATCGCTTGCACAACAGTTGTGGCATCCGGACAAACAAAAATAGAATTCATTTACTTCTTCTCATGGGAAAGAAGAGAGAATGCTAGAAATTTACTTCCTGAGTTTCCAGACTTTATATTTTTTGGTTCGGACCATTTTAGTGGTAAATAGCAAGTTGTTTTTGTTTGCGCCATTCACTCGGGAAGTGAGTTAAAAGAGGGGCCACAAATTTTGCTTGTGTTGCTGTCAGGTGAGCCAATGGACCGCATCTCCTTTGCCCGAGGCATCTTGCAGGACAGAGTGTGGACCTGCTCGACAGTACCTTCTTCTGTAACGTTTCCATGTGGGTGTGTCTGTGTTTTAGGATTTGGACCCCCCCCCATTTGTTTTTCTGTTGGTGTTCCTCGAATACCGCATAACAATGAATACCCTCAATAATTATTGTCCTTTTGGTTTTCCTGTGAAGCCACAAAAGCTGAGTTTGACCATGTAGAGATCCTCATTGTTGCGCTGACTTGAGATGTAGGAGCCGAGGAAATGAGCGGTCAGACCTGAAAAACGTACCACTGAATTTCCCCATCGATTCAACCGGACCACGTAATTTTGCTCAGTTGTCAACCGGGGTCCCCGTAGTTCTCCGTCGGGGTGCTAAACATCACCTAGGGCCTCTCAAAGTGCTCACTTCCTCAGTTCATGAACTTTAAGCTTTTTGGGACGACCATTTATGTGGTAAATATAAAGTTTGAACTTTTTTTGGGCCATCCACTCAGCAAGTGAGAGAGTGAGTTGCGTGTGGGGCGGGGGGCCTCTGGGCTACGGAAGAGGCAACCAGGTCTGGCCAGGTCAGGACCCCCTGAACTCAAGGACTCAAGGCTGCTTTCGTTGCTTCCCCGACCCGAAACTGGCTTGCCGCGGCGACGCGAGAATCCAACATAAAATTTTCTCTCGAGTCCTTGTGTTGTCTTAAAATAGGAATCCGAACCCCGCAACATGGGCTAACATCAGTGCTTTGGGTTTCTCGGAAGAAGCGAAAGACGAACAAACACGCAGTACCCAACGCCGCAGTGAAACAGGGCCTCTGTTGTTTTTTCCTTTTTCCACTGGCCGTCAGGCTAAAAGGTTCCCGCGGGTTCTAAAGAACACAATAAGGAAGAAGGGTATGGGTCAAAACCATGCAGGTTTTAGTCCATGTTTGCGTTTACCAAGGCAAGCCAACATCTATGTTTGACACCCCACAGCCATAAATCCCGTTTAGGTTCACCCCCAAATCTGGCCCCTGGAGGTCGAGACCCAACGTCAAGCGACTCGAGCTAGGATTTTGACGAATCAGTCGTGATTGGTGTAGATGAGTTTTGGCAGTGCAGAAAATCGTCCGGTTCCAGGTCGGCTTTTCATCTGTTTTTAGTTGGTTTAGTGCTTGGGTTTTCCACTTTTTCCCAGCTAAACGTTCAGCAGAAAACGGACCGCCATTGGTTTGGGAACACCTGACCTGGTGAGCACCTATCCACCTTCCGGGGTGCACCCAATGGGTACAAACATACTGGATGGAATCCTCATTTCGGCACCGTTCACAGACCCTGGTTTCTGATCATTCCCCTGCAAATACGCTGGCACCAGTCTATGGCACCAGTCTTCAGGGTATCATCCACTGGTACCTGGAATCAGGCAAATTTGGTTTCAACCATGGTATCATTTCGTGGTGCACGATTTTGATCCATCCACAGTAGGGGGGACACGGATGTTATCTGCCTATCATGATGCGCGGCAGCACTGAGCGGGCGGGAACCTTTTTCATGTTTATTCATCATGCAAGTGATACAACCACACGATGTACTATACTGTGGATGGACGAAATCCATTTCGCACCGCCTGAGAAACCCTGGTATGACTCGATTCCCTGTAAATACAAGCAAAACAATTGGTTCCCACATTTTCTTAGGTGATGCAGGATGTCGTCCATCCACAGTATGTCTGGAGGCCTGCATTCCTTTTTGTGGATCTTGAGGTTCAGCCCTCGCGCCATCCGCAGAGCGGGTGATAGAAGAGACGTGGGCAAGAGTTAGCGTTGCCTTTTTTCCGCCTTGGTGGGTTTAATGTGTTTTCAGACCTCCAGGTGAGTGGTCTGGCTTTGGTTCTTCTTTGCACTAGTCCCAAAAGAGAACTGTAAAGAAATGGCTTACCCGGATGAAAAGAGGGATTGCCCGAAAGAGAACCGAAAGAAAGGACGCACCAAGGTTTCGCAAGGACTCCTAAAAGGATATTTCTTCACAAGTGTTTGTTTGCTTGTTTGATTACACACAAATCGACCAGTCTTAAAAAAGGCATAGGGTCAGTCGTGGACCCACAAAAGGACCCCGTCGTTTCTACTTGTTTGTCAACTTTCCTTTGGCTGGTAATGCCTCAGCTGTGGGAAAGACATCTCCAACATCACAGGAAGAGAGCCCTATGGAAGGTCGCGTTCGACATATTGGCGCGTGTGTTGAAGTGTCTATGAGTTTCAGTAGTAACAGTTTCCCGGCAAAGTCTGTTGGGTAAATCCGGCCACGTAAATTATTTCCACTGGGTCAGTTCCGATTTATAATTATTCCTGTGTGGGTGCTTGTTGAAATATGCACCCCGCATAACTATGTTTTCCCTTTGATTTCCCTTGAACACCACCCGAAGAAATGGCACCCTCCAAAAACTCAGTTGTTCAAAAAAGTCCTTTTGTCCTTTTGGTTTGCCTTTTTGGTCCATTTTAGTCATTGCCCTTTTTGGTCAACCTTTTAGTTCTGGGTCCTTTGGGCGAGTGAGAAATGCGAACCCATGTTTGTCTTGAGCAGATCCGCCAGGAGAAGTTTCCATTGCAGTTTCCCCAGGATGCTGCAGAGGTCAGCTTGCGGCCGTCGCGTCGCCGGCGATTATCGACAAGCTTCGCCCGATTTTGAGGGGGATCTTCCGCAAACTGGGTGTGCCTGAAGAGGGTTCTTAAAAGGGTTCTGGAGACAGCATAGTACGGTATATAAGTTTTGGGCCGGAAAAAACAAGGGAGGCCTGGTTGGGGGCTCCCTCATGGAGAGACAGAGGAATCTCATTCGTTCCATTTGGCCGGTGGAATAACCAAGATTTGATTGACCCCCATCAAGCCTCGTCCCCAACAATCCTTGGTTGAATATCATCTACCGTTCTGGGTTGATGGTTGACTTTGAATGATCCAACTTGGAAAGTCGCTAGATACAGTTTCCATTCGTTTGAATCATCCTTTGGTATGATTTGTTGGCAGCCTGATCAATATGGCAAGCTAATAAGACAGCTGGTGAGTTGGTAGCTGGTTTGTGTCAGCATTTGCGACAAGACCACAGCTTCATCTTGTGGCCCAGCTTTTCACTTTGCATGTTTCCTTGTTTGCCTGAGGCAACAACACAAATGGTGAGTTGCTTCTTTGTCCATCAAACCCGGCTGCTTGTAGTTTAATGTGCAATGTTACTTAATGGGTAGTTTAGAAGCGTGCTTAAAAGTGGGACAACCAAATTGGGAATGACTTGTGCATGACGCAGAAATGACATCTCGATATCAAAATAACATTGGGTGCGCTGAGACAACCGGCCATTGCACCAAGCCGTAGATCCAAATGGGAGCGCTCAGGATGACTCAGAGATCATTCCCAACGAGCGCTGGTGCGACTCTCAGGAAGGCGTCTTCGCCTTGCCAGGTCTGCAAGTGACCGAGGTCATGCACCCAGTTACTTCAGTGGCATGCCCAGTTGCTTCAGACTTCAACTGGAGACCCCAAAACGAAGACTCGTTCCTTTTTTGACCAGGGTCAGCTTTCGCAACTTGGAGAAACAAGCCAAGCCCGGATCCAAGCCAAAACCCTGTAGCAGGCAACCAAGAATGCTCCGTTTGGTTTTTAAAGGGTAGCAAGCCCTTGGTTGCCCACCAACGTTGATTCCATATTCATCAACCCCTGTTTATTCATAGGGGCTTGTCCCTGGGTTCAGTGAGGAATCGTCACTTTTGGAGGGGAACAGCCCCCTATTCTTTAAAACAGAGAAGAAAAAAACAACAACAAAAAAAGGGGGGGAGAAACAAATCGGGGGTTGATTCATCTGGGGTCAACATCATACAGGTGACCTTTCATGGCCTTGCTCCGCCCGCGCCAGCCGGGTTCAGCGGTCCCGCTTCGCGGCCCCGAGGGACGTGGTGGCCTCGAGTCGGAAGAGAAAGGAAGAGGCCGAGGCGGAGCGGGCCGTGAGCTCCTGTGGACGAGCGAGTCCCTTCCTAGGTCTCCCAGGATCGAGCGCCGTTTCTTCTGTTGCCGTTTCTTTTTTTTCAGGGCTTCTTAAAATAACATAATTTTGCAACCATTTGAAACATGTGGCTTTTTCAACACCAAAATAGAAGGACACCACCATTTACAAGGCAATGTTCAGGTGTATAATGTAAGGATCCCTGTTTGTTGGGGAGATTCGGTTCCCCTACTAAACTGGACTACAGAAAACAGGGTACCCTTATTGTAAGCTCTCTACTGGAGGACCTAACCAAGCAGGGTGGTGAGATCACTTGGGCCAAGGGGTTTATCCACCACTTCTGTGATACCTTCGGGAATCTCCCCCTTTCTATGGGGGGTTAGTATTTGGGGAGCCCTTTCTGTTGTAGCGCAGAAGTGGATTCCATTTCCCACAGCCCTGCTCCCAGCAAGAAAGGGAGGTAACCAACCTCACGGCCAAGTAAAGTAAAATCCCTTAACGGCTAGGAGAGGGTGAGGTTTGTAGGGTGCCTCATTGTGTCTCCCACGTGTTGGTAAATTCCTAGCAAGATGGGGGCCCACTTGCCCAAAGCGAGCTTATCATTCTCCTAGTTTGGTCCATAGTCGAGGTGCGAAAAAGTCAAGCCGATTTCTGTCGCGGTGCTTTGCTGGAGGTTGTCAGCCATCCCCCTTAGGCACTTAGTTGTTTTTAGTTGGTTTTGTGGTAGTTTCCACTAAGCCACTAATAGTTGTCAACTTTTAGCAGGGAATCAGTTCGGATAGCCCAGCTTTTACAAGTGAGAAGAGAACCAAGTATCTCCCTGGTGTTCGATCGGTCGACTTGCGAGGTGGGACACGTCCAAACCCCGTTGTTTTTTGTTTCAGATCAGTTCGGGCAGGGGCGCCATGAGGGACTCGTCATTTTTGCGACGTTGACCTGATGTGTTTTGACCTGGATCTAAAGATGACATGTGTTTGGACAACAGCTGAGGTGCATGGTGTCAATTTCCCACCCCCACAACCCTTCTAGCAGAAGCTTCGCCATTCTTTCCAGGGATCCTTCTTTTCAGGAAATCATCAACCACACAGGGGGGAAACAGCTGGTTGTTGATGAAGAATGGTTACACAGAAGGGGGAGTCAACCCCTGGAACCCTGCCTTTTTTTCTATTCCTTTTCTGTTCCACCAAGCCTCAACCTGTTGGTGACCAAGTCTGATTTGAGGTGCGCCGAGACTCATTTTTTCGCCAGGATGAGCATGAGGAAGAGGCCAGCGATGGAGTTGTTTAGCCTCCAGGACTTAAAGATGCAACTGGGCCACAACCTCCATTTGCAGATATATTTTTCCCCAAACAGCAAAGCATTGGGGTTCTAACTTGAGGTATAGAGAATGGGAAAGTGTGACTCCATTTGCAGAAATGTGTTTTAGATTATTATTTTGTGTTTTAGATAATCTAAACAGTTGCATTTGTTGTTTAATTATTATTATGGTTATTATTATTATATGTATGTATGTATGTATGTATGTATGTATGTATGTATGTATGTATGTATGTATGTATGTATGTATGTATGTATGTATGTATGTATGTATGTATGTATGTATGTATGTATGTATGTATGTATGTATGTATGTATGTATGTATGTATGTATGTATGTATGTATGTATGTATGTATGTATGTATGTATGTATGTATGTATGTATGTAATGTATGTGTATGTATGTATGTATGTATGTATGTATGTATGTATGTATGTATGTATGTATGTATGTATGTATGTATGTATGTATGTATGTATGTATGTATGTATGTATGTATGTATGTATGTATGTATGTATGTATGTATGTATGTATGTATGTATGTATGTATGTATGTATGTATGTATGTATGTATGTATGTATGTATGTATGTATGTATGTATGTATGTATGTATGTATGTATGTATGTATGTATGTATGTATGTATGTATGTATGTATGTATGTATGTATGTATGTATGTATGTATGTATGTATGTATGTATGTATGTATGTATGTATGTATGTATGTATGTATGTATGTATGTATGTATGTATGTATGTATGTATGTATGTATGTATGTATGTATGTATGTATGTATGTATGTATGTATGTATGTATGTATGTATGTATGTATGTATGTATGTATGTATGTATGTATGTATGTATGTATGTATGTATGTATGTATGTATGTATGTATGTATGTATGTATGTATGTATGTATGTATGTATGTATGTATGTATGTATGTATGTATGTATGTATGTATGTATGTATGTATGTATGTATGTATGTATGTATGTATGTATGTATGTATGTATGTATGTATGTATGTATGTATGTATGTATGTATGTATGTATGTATGTATGTAATGTATGTATGTATGTATGTATGTAATGTATGTATGTATGTATGTAATGTATGTATGTATGTATGTATGTATGTATGTATGTATGTATGTATGTATGTATGTATGTATGTATGTATGTATGTATGTATGTATGTATGTATGTATGTATGTATGTATGTATGTATGTATGTATGTATGTATGTATGTATGTATGTATGTATGTATGTATGTATGTATGTATGTATGTATGTATGTATGTATGTATGTATGTATGTATGTATGTATGTATGTATGTATGTATGTATGTATGTATGTAATGTATGTAATGTATGTAATGTATGTAATGAATGGAATGAATGTAATGTATTATGATTAATGTTATTATTATTAATTATTATTATTATCACTACTGGACATAGCGTTATTCTGTTCCAGGAGGGTTTTCAGCAAATCGAGGATAAGCAGCGACACCCTCCACCAACATGGAACCTGACAGAGGCAGCCAGAAGACGATTTTCCTCAAAACATGGACTCTCTGGTGGGTTGGAGGGCTTATTGCCGCTTGGAAAAAAGGTACCTTTTGCCTTCTCTTACGGGTGCTCAGTAGGGAAAGAGGAATGACCCTTATAAACCATCCCTTGTGGTTTCGTTTAAGGGAATCCCTGGGTTCATTTCCTCATGATAGTGGACAGCAGGGTACTTTCTCCACACCCAGCAGTTTGTGCTTTTCACACATGGCTCGCCATAGGTAGTAGGGAGTCGCAGAGAGTTAGGGATCCCCACGCTCCTTGTCGCGGGAAGGCCCACGCAATGCAACAAGAACCTCACCCACCTTTTTTGTCTGAACAAAATTGGGTGGTCCATGTAGTGCTTTGTCAAAAGCCCGTAGCTCCAGTCAGGGTAGTCTAAAATGGACCCACGAGTTCCAGGAAGCATGGCAAGTGGTTCGGATGTCCAAATCTTGCTGGTCATCTAAAGGAAACAACAAGGGGTGGTTTATAAGGGTCCTTCCATTTATCATTCCCTGCCAATCGCACCAGCAAGAAATTTCGGGTTCATAAACAACTTGCCCTGGACCCTCACGCCAAACATGGGAAGTCTCACCTCACCAACTTTGGGTTGGGTCCAGGCAGATCGCTCGATATGCCAGCGAAGGGTTTTTTGTCATGGCCAAAAAAGCGCCAGGATGGTCAGACGGAGGCGCAGGAGCTGAAGAAGGCGCAGGGTGGATTCTGCAGATTACCCTCTCAATGAAGTTTCCGTGTTGATTTGCAGGGCAGTACTTGGCCTCATCTAGCTTTACTTCTGTTGTTTTTAAAGGGATTTTAAAGGGAATCAGGGATTCAGCAAATGGAAGTTCTGTGTTGATTTGCAGGGCAGTACTTGGCCTCATCTAGCTTTAGGCTATTTTGTTTGCCCGTAGACCTTGTTTTGCTTGTGGCGTTGTTGTCTTTATGCCACTGGTGTTTGGCCTTGTAAGATGCATGCTCACGAATGCATTATCTTCATAAGACAACTATGCTTAACACCATCGACACTAAAGTTGCACGCTGCGCTGCCTCATTCTTGTTCACAATTGGCCCTAGAATTACCAGTTGGCAACGTTGGCCTACATTCGCCTCAGGGCTAAAAGTGGCTTCAGGCTTTTCAATACAACATGGCAGTGGCTTGCCTCAGCCTTGCGTTATCTATGAGGTGTTGTCATTCGTTTGATGCTTTCTTTAGTTGGCCAGGATCAAAAAGGAAGCAGTCGCAGAGCTTAGGGAATGAAGCTATCCCTAGGAAGCCAACAGGGATGGCTGCTTCCCGAATTTCCCGCTGACTGCCGGCAAGTCCTTCAAGACTTGAGTTCCAAGAGGTTTGCCGCGATGCAAACCCATCGGACCAATCGGAGCGGGCAACGCGGGGGCAATGTCCAGTTCTGCTCTCGTGTTTCATGGGCTTCCCCAAGCCGCACTTTCTTTTGTTCGCAAATTTGCTAGTCGGCTGGTGTCTCCTCATGCCTGGCAGAGCTTTGCCCTTCTTGCGAAGCCGGCTTGGTTTGGGCATGCCTACGGCACACGCCCTCCAGCAATGGCTCGTCTTGCAGCTTCCCTTTGCAGAAGAAAGGCGTTCTTTCAGCAACGTGCTGGCTGACCTGGGGAAAATGGCGCCGTGGCCCATGGATCACCAATCGTGTACGAGTGTTTTTTGTTTGGCCAGAAGGAAGATAGACACATTCCCCAAGCGCCAGCTATCATTCCGACCAGCAAATTGAAGATGTGGTGGGCAAATAGGGCTGCTCTGCTCTGAAAAAAAAAGGGAGAACACCCAAGTACAGATTTGCTTTGGCTTTCTTTCGGAGACCAAATTCTATGATGCCCCAGTTTCCCCCACGGGATAAACTATTCTTCACCAAAACTGTTTGACCAGCTTAAAGGGAACCAACTAGGAGTTGAACGAATTGAACAGGGTACCTTGGGTTAAACGGAAGCCTCCTTTTCCAAAGGGCAGCAGCTCGTCGGCGACCCTGAGTTGATTTGAGCCCCTTGTTCGTGTAGAGGGCAAACAGGCGCTGAAACTCGTCACCCGCAGGCATTGTCCAGCATTCCAGACGCCTCCTATGAAGACATCGACCGCTTTCCTGCGGTGAGCTGGCCCAGCAGTGCTCGATTGACCAAGCCACTCCTCTGTGGATTCGCGCATGTGCCATGCTCAAACCACCTGCTACGTGGTTAGAAGGGATGGGTTAGTAAGAAGCCCCTTTTTGTTGCTTCTGGGTGTCTTTTTGTTATTGCTTGGGGGGACGCCGTTTTTTTGGGCAGCCCATGTTCATTTGCATGCAGTAACATGATTTGCAGTTTGCTCTGGGTGAAGTCAAGAATAGCACCTGGTTTCTAGACCGTTGGATTTCCCGAAGCATCTTAGCTTCCACCATGAGCCAGGAACTGCTCTAAAGTGATCCGGACCTTGGCTGTTCATTTTGCTGCTATTGGACTGGATTTCGATTGGTCGACAAGGGTATAGATATGGTTTAGTTTCCCTTCGCCGCCAACGTCCTTCCATGGTTGTTAAGAGGACTCTTGTCGAAGAAGCCAGATGTAGATGTTGGCATGCCTTAGTTGTTCCTTGCGGGCACTCTGCAGGGGTCACTCCGAAGCTTCCAAAGACTGCAACAATCCTAATTAGATAACTCACTTGTCCAAAGCCAACCTTGTGACCTTTTGGTTTTGCTTTTTTGGTGAGTTTTGGTCATGGCCCCAGGTTAACCTTTTATTTCCGGGCCCTTTGCGCAGCTGAAATAAGTTTTGCTATGTCTGTTGTTTCCCTTGGTACCACTTAGCTACTCCTACCCTGAGGATCGCCTCTTTTGAGGTGGCTGCCACCTTCAAGCAATGGCTGCAGAAGCAAAAGCGCCTCCAGGACGCGGTCTCAGAGCCCGTCAGATTTTGCCTCAAAACTATTTCGGGTAGATGAAGGTTAGGGACAAGCCCAACCACAAATAGGCGCCTTTGCCTGTTTCATTCTTAAAGCATGGTTCTGGGTAGAGTACCAATTTGTTTTTGAGAAGGTCCTTACATGGGATGACCCGGGTCACAATCCAAACACGGGTAACTGGAGGGTAAGGGACAATCCCCTTGAAAGAGCTGCGGATATCCGGCTTCTTAATTCTTGAAGCATGGTTCTGGGATTACGACCATTGTAATACCGGGTTTTGAGCAAGTGACTCCCGTGCCAATTCCTTTTGCCCCGGCCGAAAGCTATGGGGTCGATAGGGGGAGATACATGGGGCGGTTCTGAGGGTTCACCGAAAGGCATGCAGCAATCATTGTTGCTTATGAATTGAAATCACCTTACCCCTAACTGGTCGTTTGGTTTGTTGGTTTGTTGGTTTAGACGTTTGGGGGTACCTTCCCCCTAACTGGTCCTTTGGTTTGTTGGCTTAGACGTTTGGGGGTGCGTTCCCCTCTTGATTTCTACAAGAACCAGGCACCGACCGATACAAACCATCAATCGAGGGTATCTGAGGAACCCACCCCCGAAAAACAAAATTGGCTCGGGTGATATCCCCAACAGCATGAGCCACATCTGCGCGTGCTATACTCGGAACTGGACACATGATTGGAACACGAGGCCGGGTTGGGGTTATCCCCTGTAGACCCTTCTGGGGAAAAAGCTCACATGGGGATGGGATATTGTCATGCGTTACGTATGACGCGCGTTGCTCAGGACGATGCAGAGAACGCAGTGAAGGCACGCAAAGTGGCTGCGGCTGGCTGATGATAGAACGCGCGACAAAATATGCCCAGAATCCACATTCATCCAAAGCGATTCCCTACAAGCGAAAGCAACTAGCCGGTAATCAATCGTTGTATGTGCACAATGACGAAGTGCAGGAATGCAATGGGAGGGGGTGCAAACTTCTGGTGAGTTCATGCAGCAGATATTCTGCCCGACGGTGTGATCAAAACCAAATCTTGGGGTTGGGCCGCGGCAACGAACAGTCGCTCTGTGCTTGCTTGGACGAAAGTAGAGGTGTTTGTAAACCTGGAGGGTTGTCAAACATCATCACATCCTTCGACCCTTTGAGGTAGTTTCGCTTGTGGTGTCGGCATGTTGGTGACCCTGATCATTGGACTTCCCATGGGTCGAGCGCCAGATACTCATACCAAGCCGGGCTGAAGGGTCATTCGCCGGAGGAGTCCCTTCATTTTCCAGAGCGGATTTTTCGCCACCCAGCTTGCGCCTTACGATCAAGGGAAAAGAGGACTCCCTTATCCTTACTGCTTCTAGATAGTTAGCGTACCAGAGGTTGCGCGTTTTAAACGGAAGCCAACAGCCAGAACCCCCCGACCGCCGTTTTGAGAGAGGGATGTTGGACGTGAGGGGGAAAAAACAATAACTCTCTCGGGGGTACCGGACAGGATTGAGATTGGTTTTCTCCATTGAAACCATGGGTGTCCTTTTGATCGGTTAGTGTGCACAAAAATAGGAGGCACTGGTTTAGATGGGTTTTGTTCCATTTACCAGGGAAACCCATCTATTTTTCCAAAAGGACACCTATGATTGCAACTCGTCTGGAGTTGGAGAAGACACGGAGCAAAACGTGGGGCAGGTCTATACCAGTCTGAAGCAGCTGGGCCCAACCCCCCCGGTTCGAACACCTCATGAAAAAATATCCACCCCCCTTTCAGCTCCAAACTTTGGGCTGTCCCAAAACCAAGTTGGCATAAGGAAGGACCCCCCATCCCCTTGGGCCAAACTGGTTTGGTCGAAAGGTGCTGTACGACCTCTTCCTTCAAGACGAGAAATCCCTTGACGCCATGGCCAAGGCGGGCTTGGCTCGAAATCGATGGGTTCCATTGGTTTAGAAGTTGGCCTGAGCCCAATTTACCAGGGGAATCCATCGTTTTTTCTACAAAAAGAAAACACCTGTATGCTGGTCAGGTTACAGTGGAAGTTTGGATTGCCCTCCCTCCAACAATCATGGAAGCTGACCATCGGCGGGTTTAAGACTACTTTCCTTTTGGGAAAGCCCCCGATCATCCACTTCCATGACTGTTGGAAAGAGGGTAGTGGTTTGGAGTTGGATTTGAACCCATGGTTCTTGTAAGGCGAAACCTCGGAACACCAATTCAAATCACCAGTTAGACGGATGGAAGCTAAGACTTTAGAACCAGTGCTGTTGCTTGTCAAGGGGGCCTTTTGAGAATTTAGTGGAAGGATGCAGATTTGAACAGAGGTTGGCATGCTCAAAAGGGCATTCTTTCAAGCAGCATGTCCGGGTGAAACAGCCCAGTTCCATGCAAGTTCTTTGGCAAGCCTAGCGGAAACTGTTCATTTTGTGGGGAGGGGTCTATATCCCAGGTTTGTGGAGAACCCATCCCAAAACGTTGGCTTAAGGAACGGTCGTTTCCATTAGCCGGTGTGTTTCGGTTTGAGACCGACCAAGCGCGCGGGATTTAAATTGAGCAACGAGAAGTGTGGCCCACCAACAAAAGGGCACAGACAAATCTTCGCCCCAGCCCTCACGCTTATTTGACAGGTCTCAGCGTTTTCTTGTAGGGTGCTCCGACCGAGTCTCGGGTCGGAAACAAACCTAGGTCCCCGAGTAGTGCCCTTTCTCACCCCCTTTTTTGGGGGAGAGTTCCCCTACTAAAATAGACTACAGACACAAGTTGGTACCCTTATTCCAACCTCTCTACTGCAGGACCTAGAAACAGTCCTAACTTACCTTCCTGGGATAGAGCGTCGGATGGGATGGCAGAGATCCCCGGATGTCTCCCCAAGTTCTTGGGGATCCAAGCGGGTTCTTTGCTTGTTTGATGCGACTCCTTTTAGTGGCATGTTTGAAGGTTTGCTCGATGGAATCCAAAGGACCTGGGAAGAGCGGTGATGGTTTGTTGCTTGCCTTGACTCAACGTGGCGTGAGAAAACAAGGCAGCCAGGTTGTGGGGGGTGGTGGGGGGGGTGTCGGATGGTGGTGGTGGGTGTTGGTTGGCGACAGGTGGTGGGTGGTTTGTGGCTGGTGGGTGATCGGTGGTGGTTGGGATGGTGGTGTTGTGACTGGCGGGTGGTGGGTGGTGGTCGGGGGGGTGTTGGTGCTAGTAGTTGGTGCTTGGTGGTGGTGTTTTCCCCGTGGCCACTGGACAAGTGAAAGTTGCGCTTGAACCAAGCAGCCGCCTGGGAGAAAATCAACCTTACTGAGGATGTTATGCTTCGCACAAGCAGCCAACTCCCACTTGGAGTTTGAAATCCGGACTAACTCATTAGGAAGGCCCTGCACTAAACAAGTAGAGTTGTTGATAATTTGCGCAGGCATTTGTGTGTGTGTGTTTACATGTTTGTTTCTGTGGTTTGCTTTGACAGGCGTGGCCAGGGAGTCTTATGTTCTGTTTGCCGCATGAAACAGTTGGTGGTTTAGACATCAACGCAAGAGTGGAATGGGAATTCGCTGTGAAATGTTTCGCCTTAGCATCCAGCAAGCTGGTGTTGCAAAAATTGAATTTGCGGGCTGCTTTCTTAGGGTGACCACGGGAAGTTCGGAGCCTTTCAAAGTGAGGAACTGGTCATCCTGGAATGAGAGTCCCATTTTCGGATCAAAGAAAGAGGCGTCCATGTTCCGGTTTGATGCTCAAGAATGAAGCTACAGCCGCCAGGAGGCCAAATGGGCTACTCTTTTTGGGCGTGTCTTTTTTGGGGAACCCCAAAATGGATTTCGGTGTTCCTTGTTGTTTCCCTTTAGAAGCACCAAACATCTAGGGGTGCCTTCCCCATTCTTTCCAGGGGTCTTCTTTCCAGAAAGCCTCCGGAAACCGCGGGAAGCCGCCGATTTTTCGAAAGAACTGGTTGAAAAGAATAGGAAATCAACCCCTAGAAAACAAGGAGTCCCCAAGAATCAACGCCACACCCATACAGATGCCGTCCCTTTCCCTCGCGTTTTGAGGCGCCATACCTCAAGGCCGTGGCCAAAGAGTGCCTCGACCATACCAGAAATGTGTGCGCATGCATGCATGGATCTGTGCTTGTCTGGCCGCACATGTGTGGCTCGTCTTTCTTAGGTTGGACCCCCCAAAACGCAAGATACAGGTGCTTTCCTTATGATTCTCTTCAAACCACCAAATTAGGGTTACCCTCAAAACAAACATGTTGCCTTCAACTTCAGCCCTTTGCCAACTCTCAGCCCAAACCAAACCAAACCGACCTTTCAGAGCTTTGGTTTATTCCAGATCGTTTGTGGAATGCTGGCCTATCCCTTTTGTTGGATCATGTTTCAGGTTGGCTCAATTTTGGTCAGGCGTCCAAATGGTTCTCAGCTTGGCCGGAGCTGACCTGCCGGGTGAAACGAGCAAACAGCCCATGAAGATACTTTGGCATTCTGCGTGGAGTACACCCCCGCAGCACCCTTTCTAGAGTTGTTTCTTTTACTTTTAACGGATGTGGGGGGGCTTTTTGTTTGGTTTCAGTTTTTCTTTTTTGCTAGGGGAGGTGGGGGGCATTTGTTTGGTTTCAGTTTCCATGAACATGTGGAGGAGAGTCAGTTCAGATCATCTAAGGGACCTGGTGTCGCTGCTTGTCTCTAAGGGCCACCGTCAACATGCTGGGGGGCGTCCAGTTTCCCGAAGAACCCGGGGCCAAAAAGGGTAATTAGCGACTCAAAAAAGGTCGCATCCATGCGGGTCTGTTTGTTTTTGGTGTTCGCCTTTTTGGACGGCTTAGATGGAAGCCAAAGGGATGCCAACCGTATTTTGGCGCTTCCCAGTTTTACAGACAACACACCCACGTGTTGTCCCTAGGCCTTCACATGAGTCCAGCATCAAGCTCTTTGCGTCCTTCTGGACCAAGCACAAAGGCTGGGTCCACGTTGCGGGCATCAGGGGGTGCTCGTGTGGCAAAAAAAAGAAAGACCTGCGAGGCAAACGCTGACAGCGTCAATCCAAGGAGAATGTACAGTGAGAGCAAAGTTCGGCACATACCTCTGACTGTCATGATTTGGGTTCTGTTGCTCGCGGGGTTATCAAAGTCAGAAAAAGGATTCGGTTGCTGCCCTTCAACCTACTGTGGATAGTTGCCAACTCCATTTCGCACCACCTCTCGCAAATCCGAACGGTTTCTGACTCGGTGCCCCAACGCAATACCGATAAACCTTATATAATGCTATGGTTTCAATTGTCAACCATTCGATAGATGGTGTTTCCCATGGTTTCGGTGCCCCAACGCAAATACCGACCAACCATGTTGTTTCCCATGCTTTCAAAGTGGTGCAGGATTCGCTTCCCTCTGAATACCAACGCAAGCTTTGTTGCATTTTGCTTGGCTGTTAGGAATTTAGCTTTTTGCCTAATGGGCTTTCCGCTAAACCACTAAAAGTTCTCAACTTTCTGCAGGGGAGCAGAAACCGCGGCTCTTCGCCGCGACGTGCGGCGGGTTTCTCTTTCTCGCGCGAGGCCCTTGGAGCTTAGTGGAGCGCATCGAGCGGAAGGCGGAGGCGAGAAGTGAAGCCCTCGGAAAAACCAAAACGGATCCCACCCGTCGAAGGCGTTTTTTTTTTTTTGTTTCCACGTCCAAAGGGTGATGAGCTTTATGGGTGGGTGAAGGCGTTGGCTTTTTTTCCAAAGCTGTAGGGTGGTTGTGGAAGGTGCGTGTTGTGTTTTCCTTTTTGGTCCAAAGGGTTATGAGCTTTATGGGTGGTTGGCTCGTCAGTTTTTTAGAGGTTTAGGTTGGACCCTGGGTGGTTTTGTGGCTTCCCTTTAAAACCCAGCCAACAAAATGGTGCCTCAAAGGTCTCTTTCCAGACATTGACGGGGTTTCATCCATACTCCCTTCGGCCCTCAAATGACCAAAAGTAACTTTCCCTTGCGTGTTCCAACCAATGGTCATCCCATGCAAAAAGAAACCTTTTGATCAGCCCCCATATATCAAGGTCCCCAAAAGTTAAGACCTTGTATTTCCAGGTCATCAAGCGGCAATGAATGATCCAAAGCCAACCAGCCAACCAAAGCCAACCAACAAGCCGCTGGCGGTCAGAGATCAGACTTAAACCCAGGGACCTCCGCTTTTTCCAGGAAACCCAAGTGGGCGAAAGAAAAGGTGGGACGGCCTATGCAGCTGACCTCAATGGTTGGATCATGTGATCCAGGTGGGGGGCTTGAGTTGTGTGTGTAAATGCGGCACGAGTCATGAGGAATCGACCTTTGCTGGCTCGCCTCCCCCATTTTTTTTGTCGAAACCAGGTTCTTGACGGCTATTGGGCAACGGATCGTTAGACTAACTGTTTTTTTGCCAAGTCAAGGGGTTTTCCACTAAACGCCCAAAAAGTTAAACTTTTTGCAGGGGGGTCAACAGCAACCAAAGGGTTTGTCTATCAGCCGGAACACACCCAAAGTGTGCTAGATCGGGACTCCAATTCATTGTTGGACACCAACATCGTTGGGATTTACATCCTATCGGATTTAGGGTTCGAATTCGCTTGCACACCTCTTTCTGCAGGGGTTTATTTAGATTTGTTCTGGGTTTCCTTGGCTTCCCCACTAGTGCCCCTTTACCCGTTTTTGGGGGAGGGTTTCCCTACTAAAATAGACTACATGCAGAAAAAACATCGGGTACCCTTATTCCAACCTCCTGGAGGACCTAGTTGTGTTCTCGCTGAAAGTGGCTGCGGTTCCTTCGAGGTGTGGACAAGCCGCTCCAAAGAAATACGATTCGGTCAAAGGACCCCGGAACTCGCCTGGAAGCGGTTGCTGAAATGGCTTGATTCCTTTGTCGATGACCTACATGATTAGATTTAATGCCCTTCCAGTAGTCGTTTCGGAAAGAATGATACACCCCCAAGACTCTTGAAATCTCCATTGAGTTTAGCGTCTCTAGGCCCTTGTTGTGAGCCTAGTTTCGTGCGCAGGTGCGTATGCGCATCAGACACGCGATTCCCGAAGCTCGGCGTGCGAATGCACGGGATCTGGCCGGAGCCGGGGTGTGCCCATGCCAACCTTTTCGCTTCGGTTTCCAGACTTTGTTGGGGAAGGCTTCAGACACGCTTGGACTTTGGTGGCGCCAATCCATGGAAGTAGAGGCGCAAAAAGGTGATCACCTCTTGTTTCCGTGTTCTTTGGGCAAGTGAGTGTGCCACTTGTTTCTGCTTGGGCGTCTTAGACGCAAGTTTTGTCAATGGGTGATCACAAGGATCCCCAAAATGGTGCGCCATCGAAACCAACCAGTTGCTTATCAATCTTCCGGTCTCCTTTTCTCGGCAGGATGTCATTTTGTGGCATCTCTGCTTGTGGCTAGGACCCCGTCTGAGGGTTCCGCCCATATGTCAAGGACTTCCTCTTAAACTCTTAGAATACGACACACGCCCTATTAGTCAACAATGAGATTACGAACCCTTGCTCAACAGTATCTAATTGTGACGTGGAGTCTGTAAGCGCAGAGACCATATTGCCGCGGAAGATGGCGTTTATGAGCCCCTTCCCCTCCGGAGCATGAGCAAGTCTGCACCAGAACAAGGAACAAGCCGAACATGAAAAGACACTGAATTAGCAGCAGCTCGGAAAAGACGTCGCGCTTCCAAAGTTTTGGGTCGGGTTCTGTGAAATCAAGGAAGCTTGGTTCTCACCCCTCCTCTCCCGAAGAGGCCCCATCCCCATGCACATCAATAGAAGGGGCTTGTTCTCGGCGTGCTGCACGCCGTGCTTTTGCCCATGACGCTTCGAATGGGCCGTGACTCATTGAGACCCGCGAGATGGGTGCGCCATCCGTTTGAGGAATCCTGGGCCTTGCGTATCGTGCAGCGGGCGCACAAGGAGGCTCGAGCTGGGACCCGACACCTACAGCGGGGGGAGAACATGACTCGTTCCCAGCCGTGCTCCTTAGGCTTGAGTGGTCTTCGGTTGGTTCATGGTTGTGTTTCCGCTGGACCCACAAGGTAAACTAAACATCCACAGAATTTTCAGGTAGCCAACCAGCCCAGGTGCTTACCACGGAATGTTTCGGAGGCCCATGCCACCTCCCAGTTGTTCAGTGGAATTGTTTCTCCCTTTCTGGCGGATGTTTCCCAATAAAACAGACATGATCAGAATGGACTCCCTTTTCCTTCCTTTCGGGTTGCTTGAGAACTGGGCCATGAGCAAGGACCTCATGCGTGCGTCCAAGATCATATCCCAGCCCTGTGAAGATTCCGTTCATAGAGGTTCTGGGTATGTTCAGCAAATATGTTGGAAGGTCCATATGAGTATGGCCCTGTGGGGGAGATCTTTGGGGATTTGAGAGCCCTGCAAGTATTTGACTGGTTATTAAGTTCCGGTATAGCGAACTTAGGGCCCCACACCAAGGCTGGGGCTGTTATATTCTGAGGCTGACTATGACACACAATCTAAACATGTCTTTTCAAGGGGACCCCAATTGCTGAGGTTCTCCTTTTGGTTTCCCTTAAACCAACCAAACAGGAGGATCCCGCCCAGAAAGAGCGAAAGAAAAAAGAAACACACACGCACACAAAAACAAAAGAACCAAGGACAAACCCAATAATACTGTGGATGGACGAAGTCCTGCGCCACTTGGAAACCATGTTTGAAAGCATTGTTTCTTGGTATTTACAGGGGAGTCGAATCATTCCAGGGTTTCTGAGCGGTGGTGCGAAATGGATTTTGCCACCATCCACAGTATGTGCCCCGGAACCTGCCCCATCCATGACCAATGTCCGATGTCGAGACGACTTTGGTCGGTGGCTTCGGAGGACCTGGTCATCCTCACCTCGCCGCAGGGCGGCAAACACTTCGAGGAGGCGTCCAAGTTCGCAGAGCTTCCGGCGCTGCAGAGCGAGGTGGGGCTGGGGGTTGGGGGGTGGGGGTGGGTGGGGTTGGGCTGGGGGGGGAGGTGGGGGGTGGGCCGGTTGGGGGGTGGGTGATAGGGTGGGGGGTGGAGGAGATAGGTGGGGTGTTTGGGGGTTTGGGGGGGTTGTTTTTTGGTTTTGCGGCTTTTTGGATTTTGGGTGCCCTTTTGACGTGAGCTTAGGAGCGGGGGGGTGGGGGGTGGGGCACCTGTGCGAAAGACGTGGGAAGCGGACGGACCCACATTATCATCGTACATTGCGGACTGCCCATTTCCACAAAACATATTGCATGAGGGTGGGCAAAAAGGCTGGTTTGCTTCTCGCCAAACCCGAAGAAACGAGCAAGTTGGCTGGCTTAGAGTTTGGCGCAAATATGCTATGGCTGCTATGTGCCACCGTTGTCAAGCAACTGCTGGGGGATGGGACTACCATCCTGCATTTGTTTTACATATGCCTATGTGTATATTGAATATACATACACATATGTGTATGCATTCGAATACATTGATATTAGCCAGAGTCTGCATACACATATATATATATATACACACATAGTATGTACAAATACTATATAGGACTTCTCTTGCAAACAACAACACAGACCGGGCATTGTCTCATTTGTAGTGGTATGTGTCACTGATTAATGGGGGACACCTTCAAGTAGTTTTCGGGGGACCCCATTGAGAAAACCGCTAAACCAATTTGGAGGTCAGAAGTCCCCCCCCAGGACTAGCTAAACACTCGGTTTAGTATTGCTTTGTGTAGTTGCGTGCCGCTTCTCTGCGGTCCTCTCTGATTAGTATTGGTGAAGAATAGTATTGTAGAAATGGCTTGGTATTGGTTTCGTACTAGGATTTGCTGCTGAGACCATTTCTTGCCTCAAATTAATTTCCGTTTTTAACTGCTTAATTTTGAGTATCTATGCCTCAGCAGAAGGCTCGAGCTTGCCCCTTTGCTTGTGGAACTCTCGTCCTGAGTGTCGGTTTAGCAGGAAGCACTCGCCCGTGCCTGCACGAACGCTCCTATAGGCGGCGCACCAGGCGTAAGCTCGCCGTTCGGCCGTGCTTCACAGCAAAACTGGCTGGCATTACCTTCATGGCTATCCAACCAGATCTTCCCAGGGAGGGCTCGAAAAATGTGAAGATAAAAAATATATTTATTTATACATATATATATATAATATTTGTTTGCCCCCCCCTCTCATCACCAAAGCGCAAAACTGTGCCCATTTCAAACTCATGGCTTTGCAAACAACTTTTAAAATGTTTGTTGTGTTTATGTATATGTTTATCCCCCCTTCCAAGTTAAGGCATGTTTATCTGACAAAGACAAACAATAATTCATGGAGCTAGCCATAGAGAATAAGGATACATTCTGACAAATTTGCATCACAGGTCTGATTTGTCTTTTCGAAAACACTGTAAAACAGCGGCCCCTACAGCGTCCTTTCTGTGTTTTCTACTATGTTGGGATTTGTGTGGAGGCCCTATGTTCTTTTTTGGGGGAACATACTTTCTAATAGTGGGTACCCTTTTTCTCTTTTAGTGTGATGCACTTTGTTTAACTTGGCACCCTTTGATAAGTCGGCGATCGGCATCAATGTTGCCAGATCTGTGGGCAGCGATCTACAGACGTCCTGAAACAAGGGAGCTATGTTAATTCCCTAAGTTCGGCAACTCTCAGGCACATCCTTAGACTCCATATATTTCGAGTTTGGAGCTGTACATGACATATTAAATGTTTGAGTTCCAGGGCATCACCGAAACCAAGTCAATGTTGCACTCGGTGAACCCACCACAGCATTGTTGCAGGACTTCCAAGTTCTTCCCTGCAACAATTTTCCTCCTATCGGTCTTTTACCACCCACAAGCCACAGACTGGCGCGAGTTACGCCGGCGAAAGCATGGGATGTCGAAGGCTTCGGGAGCCAACCCCTGGTTTAAAACATGTTCCAAGGTATGCAGCAATCAGATACTCCTATCTATTGCATGTTCCACCACACAGATCCTTTGGGTCACGGATTCAGGACTTTGCGCGTGAGAGACAGCGCCAAGCTGCGCGGAAGCCGAGTGTTTCTTTTGTCAAAATTTGAGAGCCAGTGCCACGTGGTTGATTTCCCTACTGTGGATGGACGAAATCCTGCACCACCTAAGAAACTTTGGAATGATGATTGCCCTGTAAATGCCAACAAACGATGGTTTCTCATGGTTTGAAAGTGGTGCACGACTTCGTCCATCCACAGTACTGCTTAAAAACAATACTTTTCTGTGTGGTTCGGAACCAAGCGTCCGGTTCCTTAGGTTCTTTGTTGTCTTTAGTTGGTTTAGGGGTTGGGTTTCCATTCAACCCACAAGTTCAACTTTCAGCAGGGGATCTGAGGACAGCCCAGTTGTATAAATCCTTGCGCCAGATGATGGTAGTCGTCTCTACGGACTTCGGATTAGGAGTAGGGATAGTATTTGGAACAGCACATCTTTCTCTTGTGGCAGTGCTTGCAATTTTCGAACAAGTGTACCGGTACCCGTACCGACCATTCATAAGAGTTTGTTTAAACAATTTAATAGACAGGGAGAGGAAGAGGGGATGTTCCCTTCAGCTGGTTGGCGCAAGCCGGTATCTTTCTAGACCTTCTTGACAAACAGCTTGACACGTTCACCATGAAAGCTGCTTGCACAGAGATGCACTCAGAGATATGACTCCCAGTCAATGCCAGTCTGATAGTGGTTTTAAGATTGGACCCATATGCTTTGCGAGCTTGTCCAACTGATCTGAACGTTTGCTCCACAGCTTCTAACGAGAGCAAACATGTGGAGGGTTGTGACACTTCAGACAAACAATCGGCAAGGCGAAGCAGCGGTCACTAGCAAACATTTGGAGGTTGTGACTTGTGACAAATCATCAGACATCAGCAAGGTGAAGCAGCTGTCAGAAGAGAGCGGATTCCACTGACGCCCGAGGAAATGGACAAGACGGAAAGAGAGAGGCTTGAATTGGACCGTCTGGCCAAGGCTGGGAAGGTTTCAAAACAACGTGCCACCCCTTGTCAATAGGTGAGTGGCATCCTTGAAACACGGGGCTTCCCCACCGTTTATTGCCCTGATCCATGTTCCTTACGGGTTGCAACAGGATTTGGTCCCCTTGTGGGTTCCCTTGCGTCACCAAGGGTTGATTCAGAGTTTTCCACAACCGAAAGGGCGGAAATCCTTGAAGTACATGTTGGTTACTAAACCATCTCCTCAAATAGCCTTCGGCGTTTCATGTTGTGCATAAAACTAATCCAATGGTTGAACAGTGGATACATGTGGATACACACACACCCATCCCACATCTCTGATGGAAAGAGATATCAACAGGAGGTTGTGTTAAACAAGACATTGTTTTGACACGTGCCATGATCGAAAGACCCCTTTTCTTGGGTTTAACAGAAATAGACATTGACATCCACCTGGTAGTAAGGAACCTCAATGACCATTATCATAATCGATGATTCCTGTTGAGGGAACCATGACCATAGGCCGTGGGAGTTTTCACCACAGCTCACATGTCAAATCATTGGTGTATTCAGTTCGTCTTAGGGGACACGCAAAGGAGGTTGTTGGCACCAACCCTGGTGACAGGCGAAGGCCGAAAAAGGAGACAGGGAGAAAGCCAGGATCACCAAGGCGAGACCTTGCGGAGAGTTTTTTCCTGGATGGCCAATGGCCCATACCTCTACTGCTATTGGGTCGGATCTTTAGACTTTAAAGGGGATGCATGGGTAGTTGTTGCGTTGGCAATGGGTCAAAATTGAACCGCCAGGAATTGGACCGCAGGTTGTAGTGCTTGTGTCCTTTTTCTATGGCAACCCATTTTGGTGACCTTTTTGACAACCACACCCATTGGTTTGCAGACCCCCCTGCCGTTTTGGTACGGAGGCTCGTACGCAGATGCAAAGCTTCAAAAATCGGCGACACCCAGAAATTCCAAACCTCGTAGGAGCTCAACAACCAATGGGCGTAATCAACAAATGGGTTGCCGCACCATTTATTTCCCAGTGGAACCCACGAAATGTGTTGCTGCATGTGAAACCATGGAATTCAACCAGCCGGGTGCCTTCCCAAAAGTTCAATTCAAAGCGAAGTTTGGGGTTCCATGAATCAAAGTGTGCACAGGGCGAGAAGTTGTGTTTGGTTTTGGTCTGGATCTCTTATGCTAATGTATACTTACATATGCGAATCTGACCTTGTCAGAGGGTGCACGTGCAGAAAATGTGGATGACTGCGGAACACATATGAGCAAATCCAATCAGCATGCAATCTCGACGCTACATCCGCAAGCTCTCAGCACATGAAGCTTTGGATTTCGTTTTGGTGGGACCTACCGCCCTCTTCAAGCCCAACCTAGTTTTAAACTGTCACAACATGTGGCCTTTGTTTGGTAACGTGCCTGGAGTCAACATCCAATTTCAAAGCTTCCAGTTGTGATTGTTTCATTCTGCCTGGAACCCAAATCCAAGTTGACACATAGAAAGCCTGATTTGGCCCTTGTAGTTTGCCTCACGGAATCCACAAGGGGATGATCATGACTATGGGTGTGTCTGTTGTTGGAGGGTACCCCTTTTTTGGTGGTGTTAAAGGGAAACCAAGCAAAATACCATATATATAGGGGTTCCCTAAAAAATTGGCACGCCCATATGTGCGGCGGGTCCTCTGAAATGGACCAGCAAAAAACGAATCAGCAGCTGCTTTGTTTCAATGGAAAGCCATTGCCTTGACTGCTATTGGGCAACGGATCTTTAGACTTTAACTTTTGGTTGAAGTCAAGTTGGGTTTTCCACCAAACCTGTTCACTTTTTGCAGTGGGGTCGTTGCAGCAACCAAGACATGGTGAATTCCCTTTCCCAAGCCTCATAAACAGACAAGCCGCCCAAGGGCTCTCGCCAAGCTGAGTGGCTCGCGCCCCTGTTCCATGTCCGCCTCGCTGCCGACTCAACGCCCTGGGAGTCCGAAAGGCTCAAGTGGCCGAGAAACGGGAGCCTAAGCTCAGTTGCCCAAAGCGAATCGACCCTTTAACCTTTTGGTTTTCCAGTTTTGGCCCATTTTTAGTCATGGCTCCAACAGGTTAACCTTTTATTTCTGGGTCCTTTGGGCAAGTGAGGGTTTCTGCACTGGCCTTCCCTTCCGTCAAGGGCCCTATGAGACAGTGAAAAGGATTTGGACATGAATTTTTAATAGGCAAGCACCTGAAAAGTGATTGGTGGACATAAATCCCAACCTAAATGATGTCCACCAAAGGGTCCCTTAACAAAAAAACAGCGGTTGGTGGACATAAATCCCCACCTAAATGATGTCCAGCAAAGGGTCCCATTTTTAAAATTCAAAAGTGATTGGTGGACGTAAATCCCCACCTAAATGATGTGCACCAAAGGGTCCATGTTTTAAGTTCAAAAGTGATTGGTGGACATCAATCCCCACCAAACTGATGTCCACCAAAGGGTCCTTTTTTAAATTTATCAGTGGTTGGTGGACATAATTCCCCTAAATGATGTCCACCAAAGGGTCCCGTTTTTTGAATTCAACAGTGATTGGTGGACATAAATCCCCACCTAAATGATGTGCACGAAAGGGTCCCTGTTAATTTTCAACAGTGATTGGTTGACATTAATCCTCACCTAAATGATGTCCACCAAAGGCTCCTTAAAAAAAAAAAAAAAAAAAAAAAAAAACAGAAGTGGTTGGTGGACAAAATCCCCACCTAAATGATGTCCACCAAAGGGTCCCTTCTTTAAAATTCAACAGTGATTGGTTGACATTAATCCTCACCAAAATGATGTCCACCAAACGGTCCCTAAAAAAAAACAACAACAACAATAAAACATCAGAAGTGGTTGGTGGACATGAATCCTCACCTAAATGATGTCCACCAAAGGGTCCCTGTTTAAAATTCAACAGTGATTGGTGGACATAAATCCCCACCAAAATGATGTCCACCAAAGGGTCCCTTAGAAAAACATAACAGTGATTGGTGGACATAAATCGCCACCTAAACGATGTCCACCAAAGGGTCCATTTTTAGCATTCAACAGTGATTGGTGGACACAAATCCCCACCTAAATGATGTCCACTAAAGGGTCGCTTGCTTAAAATTTATACCCATTTCCATGTGATTTCTTTCCTTGCGACGTCGCGAGGCCTCGGCGGAAGTGGTGCAAGTCGTGAAGGACATGATGACTGGCACTGGACTCAGAGCGACGCAAAGTCTGGACTCGGAGCCCTAAAACGAGCGCCGCTCTTCATGCCCAGCTGCCCAAATATGCCAGTCCTGACGTTCTGGACTTGATCTTTGTTGGAAAGACCATCAGACCATCTTAGTAGCAAACAATCAGCTTGGACTCTTGGTGGCTCTCAGCAAGTGGTGATGTCCGTGCGCTTTTTTGCCGCGCCGCTTCGAGGCACGGAGGATGCCCGGGATGCGGCGCTGCGTGCGGTGCTGCGGCAGCACTTTGGGTGTCGAAGCTGCGGGCGCCTGCGCTCCAGGCGCGCGAGCTGGGGGCGCCCGCGGTTGGGTGACGCCCGTGGCTGGGGGTGGGTTGTATAGGAACTGAGGGCTTGGGTGGCTGGGGATTCTTCACTGGTTGGTTGATTGGTTGGTTGGTTAGTTGGTTGGTTGGTTGGTCGGTCGGTCGGTCGGTCTGGGATTGATTAGTGGTCGGTTTAACTTGTGGAATGATTCGTGTATGGCTGACTGGGGATTCTCTCTAGGTTAGGTCTATAGTTGGACAATCGGGCTTCTCAAAGTTTTGCCACCTCCGGGCAAATGTTTCCTTTTGGTTGAGGGTTGATTTGTGGTCTAAACTGGTATTGGTTTGCTTGGGGGCAAAGGCTTATGGGGAAAGGATTGAGTGGTTTCCATTCGGCTTCTGCACTGGCTTCCTTTCACTTACCATTTGACCTTTTAGTTTCCCTTGCTTGGTCCATTTGTTTTAGTCATGACACTAGCACTGCCAATTCCGAACCCAATCCAAGCGGTGCTCAAACCTATCCTAAGAACACCTCAAACCCAACCCAAGACAAACCCACCCTAAACCCACCCCAACCCCGCCCCAAACCCACCCCAAACCCGCCCCCAAACCCACCCCAAACCCACTCTAAAATGAACCCGGAATAACATCCCACAAACGTCTGAACAAAAATCCCGAAAAGCAGAGCGATCTGTTTGGATGGGTTGAGGTGGAAACCAAGCAGGCACCACCTCTGGAGGTGTCCTCCAATTTCTCAGAAACGCTGGTCAATTTGGTCAAGGGTTGGGCCACCCGCTTCTTTATACATCTTGAAGCAATCAATCAATAGCTTAAACGACCCCAGTTTGGCTTCTTTTCAACGGCGACCAGGGCCAGGTTGCTTCAATCACTTCCATTTGGTTAAGAAGTTTTTGTATTTCGCCCTGTTGGTTTTAAAGGGAATCTATTCCTACTGGAAATATGTTTAGTCTTTCCAGGAGACTTAAGCAAAGGGAGGATCAATTTATTAATCAATTTGATTTGGTCGCTAGGGCCATCGAGTCAGCACGGGAAGCAGATGGATGGTCTACGCCCAGCACTCAGCACGAGACCTCTCTCAGACCTGGAGGGCTTTGGGTTTAAACATCGCCTGGGCTCAGAGGGGTTGTTTTGCCACCTTTTGTGGATAATGTTCGACCTCCTCGTAGTGAAGGATTCCTTTTTGAGATAGTCATACCAGGACCCTCCATGGGTCTAGTGCTGAATTTTCCTCCCAGCCACTTGAAAACCGGACCGTCCAGAGGGCCCCAGTTTGAAGAAACATGGGCCAGAGATGTGATTAGATCACGGGCGCATTTGGCTGCGTATCAAAGCGCCTTGTCTCCAAACAACAACAAAAACACGTCCCATGTGACATAAGCTTTGAACCCGGTTTGAACAAACAGGTTTTGAACAGATAGCTGACATGTGGTTACATTTCTCCGACCAAGAAACACACCGTTGAACCCAACTTGGAACTTTAAGGAGGACCTGCGGCTGGGTTTCGGATTTTGTTTGTTTCCCCGCAGGGTGACAACGGTGTGTCCCTGCAACGATCGTGGGAACGGAACCCCGATGAACAGGCAAAGTCTTGGTTGAAAGCTTTCGGAGGCACCAGTTCAGCTGGTGATTTGTGATGGGAGCCCGTGGATCATGTGCAGATGTTGGTTTGCTTGCACCAGTCACTGCACGCCACATGCAGCCAGCCCTTTGTTTGCTAGAGTTTGGAGACTGGCCCCCAAACTTGAGAGATCTAACCCTTGACTTCCCCATACAGACACCAGAGAGAGCGCTTCCCTATGAGTCGACCATGTGTGTGCTTCCCTTTTGAGCTGTCAAACAAATGAGAAGCACCGAAACACCGGTTCCCAGTGATCCTTCTTTCCAGAAACCCGCCTCGGAAGCCAGTAGCTGGGGTTTCAAATGTTTCGGCAGTAAGGTACGATGACGTGCCAAACGCCACAGAGGAGGATATCGAGCAATATCCCAGGGTGCTGGTCACCTATTACCAGCAGGCGCGTTTTTGCTGGCACATGTTCTTCAAAAGACCTTCTCAAAGGAGCGATCGGGTACGTCAGGTAAGTGGCTAGTAAGCCTGGTTTTTAACCCACTGAACAGAGACTGACAACTATGGTGTTTGTGGGTTACTAACCACTTACTACGTACCCTGCCTCTTTAAGTTGGCTTCCGTGGTGAGCTTACTTGTCCAAAGCGCATGGACCTTTTGACCGTTGAGTTTCCCCTGTTTGATCTGTTTTCAGCCATAGCCCGAAAAGGCTCATATTTTATTTCTGGGTCCTTTGGGCAACTGATGGGTAGCGAGCCTTGCAATTCAGGGTTTGGCGACTCAGGGGCCAGAGGCCCGCTATTCGGTCCACTTGGCCAATGTTGGTTCGGGAAGGCTTTTGTTGTTTCGCGTGTTTCGGCCCGCTTTCTTTTTCACTTGGAAAAAGCTGTCTTTTTTGTTTTGGTAAAGGCTCCTTTTTTGATTCAAAGGTAAATGCCTGCTTTTTGGTTTGAATGACAAATGTGCCCTTTGTGATTCACTTGATAAAGGCTGTTGTTGGTTCGGTTTACATCGCGAAGGCCCCCTTTTGGGTTTTGGCACGGCCTTGTGTTGGGCAAACACCTATTTGTTGGTTGGCGGCAAAGAACTTGGCAAAGTGACCTCCTTTTCTGACACTTTGAAAGGACACCCACATAGTGTCCAACTGGTTTTGGCTGGCTTTGGTCCCGAGCAGTCTTTGCACGGGTGTTGCTTGTTGATATCAGAGCTATGGGAATTTGCAAGGAAATTGGGTTGGAGGCAAGCCCGAATCCTTCCCTGCTACAAGTGAAATGAAACTTAGGTTGTCGTTTTAAGCTGCCAGTTCACAGGCGTCTGGACGGAAAAAAATGATTTCTCCAAAAGTCCTTCGACTTTTATGACTTTTAAATCATTTCATCCTGGGAAATCAGTGCCAAATGGACCGTGTTTGTTGACTTTCCCAAAGGGAAGCCACCGGGATTGGCGAGGATTGGTGACCAGAGTGCCACAAGGCAAGATGGGCATAACCAAAGTGATAGCCATCAAACTTGGTGATAGCCAGAGAGATCATAGGGGATTGGGCACCAATGGTTGACCCTTGATGCCACCAGAGTGCCACAGATTTTTCTTGGTCGCTCCCAGCCCTTAGCTTTTTGGCTTTTTAAGGTTTAGGGATTTCCGTTGAACCCACAAGTTAAACTTGTATTAGCAGGGGATCTGAGGACAGCCCAGAGATGTTTTTTGCTCCAGGGCTATCCGTACATGACGGGTGTGCGCCGCCTCATGGAGTACGGATCTGAGACGGCAGAGAGGAGTTGACAAAGAAAACAACTACCCTCAATGGGCTGGCATACTAATTGCTCTCCGACCCTTTTCACATTGAACCTGTAGTGAACTGGGAGTCCTGGTTTGGACCATTTTCCTGTTAAAGGGACCGGGTATTCGTGGCTGGGATCCACTGAAGCAGGATAGGTTGCTAGTATTTGTATAACTGGGATCCACTAGGAGAGTGCGAATCCAGGACAAATTTACCTCTTGGGGCTGTTTCATTTTAGAGGGAGTACTTGACTGTTGGAGCCAACACTCCCTTAATCTGCCATGTGTTGTTGTTTTTTTGTTTAAACAAACAAATCGGTTGACATGATTCCAGAAACCTTCCCCCCGCCCCCCCAAGATCGTGAAGCCGTCCTTCCGGAAAATTGTCCAACCCTTGCTCCGAGACCCTCAAAGATGAAACGTGGCTTGGGGTTGGACCATTCCCCCCACAAGAGCTTGAATGAACTTCAGTGGATATGTGTTTTTGTTGGAAGGAGTTTTCCTGCTACTTCTTGGAAAATATGGCCACGATATCAAAGCAAAAAGGTCAACCAAGATAACTCCGCTTAGGGGAACTTATCAGCGGCCATACGAGCCTCCACGGAATGGAATCCGGGATTGCTAAAGCCCTGTTGATCAATTGGGCGGTGCCCCGTTTAACCGAGCCGTCAGTTTTGGGGGAAACGCTCCCTGTTCGGCCAGGCTGATTGGTCGACATTACCTCTATCGCACCTAAGTTTCTGACACCAGCTTTTGTCAAGGCCCAAGACCGGCACCCACAAATGGGTCGTTTCCCTTCAGCTTTCGCGCCAACTGTTTGCAGATGTCCAGATGTCTTTTGAGGGTGCGAAAAGGGAACCCTTGTTGGGGCCGATCTAGATGAGGCCGACGCCATCTAACAAAAAGATGTCGCAAATGTAGTGTTGCTGCCCTTCTTGGGGAGCCAAAGGAAAACCGCCCCTTTGAGCCTACCCTTTTTGGATAGGAAAGCCACACAAAAACAGAAGAAAAGAAAAAAAACACCCATCAAAATGGGTGCCGAATTTCCCATGTTGCGAGCCCGGACATGGGGCCGAGGCTCTACAAGAAGAAGGCGTGGCACATGGCCAGCGCGGAGTTCCAGCGCCTGGTGCGCATGGACCCGGAGAATGCCACCGCCTCAGCGGTGTCGCTCGGTGTCGTCCATCGAAAACGACGCGGTTAAAAGACGCGGCGCTGAGGAAGGTTTGACGCTGAGAGGCGGAGGTTTTTGTTTGGCTGCGAACTGCCATGGCTTCTTGTGTTTGTTTTGTTTGGTTTATGTTTTTGTTGTTGTTTTGTTGTTTTTTTGTTTTTGTGGTTGTTTTTTGTTTATGTGACATTGGAGTTTGTTTGAGGTGGTGTTTTTCTTTGTTTGAACAAATTGGTTACATTGGGGTTGTTCTTGTTGTAAAACGCAAACGAGCCGATGTTTGTTCATAAACAGCCTGTCTTCCAGTTCGTAGTGTGGGGGCCGGGTCGGTCCCTTCTTGGTGGTTGCACGGTTTATTGGTTCTCAAAACTACGTTTGGGATGGTTTGCTTTAAACCACCGCGAGCGTAATCCTGAGGAGGTCACTTTCATGGATGCAGCCTTTGGCCTTCAACATGTCTTCAACGGGCGGTTCTTTGACGTGTGCGTGATTTGTTTGTCTGTGCTTGTGTTTCTTTTTTTTTTTTCAGGGGGGTCCTCTTCAGATTGATTTGACATTGGTGTGTGTGTGCCGTTTCGAAACCTTCTGCTGTGGAGGAAGTATGTTTTACTATGATAATGAATATGTTTTTTTGCGGATGGCCCTTTGAAGAAAAAAACAACTATTTTTCCTGCTGTTCTACTCCAAACATCCACTTGTCAACTCCCGATTTTCGGAATTCCATGTTCTCCAGGGTATTTACCTTGTTGTCGGCCAGGGCTTGAACCGTTTCTGCCAGGCGAGGTGCAACGGCTTTCTAAACTCCGCCATTCTCTACCTGAGGAGATCCGATGTTTGCAGATTCGCGGGCCGGGATCATTGTGTTGACTTGTTCCGGGCTTATCAAATTCGGAAACTTGATTTTGTTTCCGTTTACCCCACTTTCAGGGTGACCTCGAGAATGATACTGGGCCAGCAAACGTGTGAATTGAGCGGCGCCCAAAGTCAAGTCCGATTGGCCAATTTAGTGGAGGCTTAGGGTTCTACTGTAAGCTTTGCTTATGGGTTCAGGATTTGTCTGAGGGCTATACAAACCATGACCAACCTCTTCCAGAAGCAAGCCTTGTGTTGAAGTTTCAACCCAGAGGGCTCACCAAGCAGCAATTTTGCAAGCATCAGCAACCCAGTTGAGGTTTCAGAACCCCCCAGAAAGCTTCTTACTTGTTGAGTTGGCAGACTTCTGAACCTTAGGAAAGGTTGCGTCCATTTCAGTCAAGGTCAGCAAAACTCCCCCAAACATGTCCATAGTTCTGGCGAGTCAACTGAGAAGGGTGTGCACTGGGACCTTTGTTTTGCACCCCCACGGCGACCGAACGACCAGTACGTTCTATGGGTGCCTCGGAGGGGGCTTAGCAGACATCATTGTTATCTTGGTGGCTCCCAACCGGATGAGTCACTTTTAGCAGGGGATCCGAAAACGGGCAGCCCAGTTGGATCTAAGCCACCCGAGTTTTCCCCAACAAGACGGGGGAGAGGGCTGAATCTTATGACTTTGTCTTGGGCCGTGAATCGGCAATCCGCCCTGTTCTTGTTGGTTCATGGGTAACGGCGTTGCCATTTGGTTCACATGTAGATTCCGGTGTCCTTATTGAAAGGGAGCCGTTTTCATTTTGGGAAAGCCACTGGCGGCGAAAGACCAACGGAAAGTGACGACTGGGCCATACAAGCTCACCATAGGCAAGGCAACCTCCCTGGGCGGCATGGGTCTTTTAGTGCCCCGTGTGTTTCCCCAGCTGGAGTGGTTTGGAGCAGCTTTCAGTCCCAATCTTCCGCAATGACTGGGTCTGCGATTTCTGTCAACTTCTTGGGGAACCCAGAGCTAAATTCTGTGTTCCGCATTTCTGGGGCGTGGGTTGATCTCATTTTGCATTTTCATTTTTTGTTTTGTTTTACCAGAATGTAAGGTTCCCCTCTGATTTACAGTATGGTAAACACTTGCTGCCACTCGACCAAAACCGCGCGTTTCGCAGGAAGTTTCGAGAGAACGGCGGCTTCGACCAGCTCTTGGACCATCGAACCCGCAGCCCGAAGGGCGGGGGTCCAATTAGAGCCTCAGTCAGGCTTAGTCCACCCAGGATAAAGCTCCAGGTCTGTCTCAAAATAGAGAACCCCTTTCCCCAAGAAAATATGAGAATATCCGGGTGTCCTCTTTGTTTCCATTTTTTCACACCTGCAAGAAAAAGGTACCTTCAAAGGAAGACACACACAAAGAAAGATCATCTTCCCGCTGGCAAGTCGAGGTTTGAGCAGTACGTCGCACCCACCTACATCGGGTTTGTTCTGCCCAGAGGCTCCTGGAGCTTTCAATGGAAGACCCGAGCCCTCCATTAGACACCCCGGAATTGGTGTTTGGGGGCCTCAAAACCTGGCTGTTTGAGGGCCCTACGTACATCGGGAGCCTCTGGGTAAGCAAGGGAATTTCGCGGAAGGTGGTGTTCAAACCCACCTTGCTTGATGTTCGATGGTTGAGTTTGGGAGACGGGGGACTATTCTAAGAAACACCCAATGATCCACGTCAGTGGAGACTTGACATCTGAATGTTGACCAAACCTGGTCTCAGCGTCGCCCCCCCCGTGAGCTTGTCCATGTCTCTGGCCATTACAAGGAGGGTTCAGAATCAAAACATGGCCTACCTACCGTAGGACGGGAGGGTTGATAATCAAAGGTGCCTTGGGCTGGACCCTTCGACCCCGGTTGAAGGGAGACCATCATTTTTTCTTTTGCCAACCTCAAGTTGATTGATCCGGGAGCAGCTCGTTCGCGCTCTGGGCTCGTTTAGTTTGAGTGTGGAGTTCGGAGTGGAGGCTGAATTTTGAGCGGCATAATGCTACTTGTACATTGGACAGTCTCCACAATGATGAACAAAATGCTGCACGAGCTGGCGGATGGTTGTGCCGGCATTCATGGGGTTTATCCATCCCAACTTGTGCATTTATAGTACCTGTAAAGGCCAAACATGACAATTAGCAGGTTTCGAAGGTGGCACAACTTGACATGCTCCCGGCGTATACTCAGCTGCCAGCCGAGGTGATATGGAAGCAAAATGTCAGTGCTCCGTCTTGCACGAAGTTCCAAAGATCGGGGTTTGGTTCAACTTGGATAGTGTGCTTCCAAGAATCTGGGGTCAGCATTACAGAGGTTCTGGATTGGTTGAATATAGGTGTGTCTTTTTGTGTGGGGGGGGCCCTCAAAAAATGTGATTTCCTGTTGGTTTCCCTTTAAACCGAACCAAACAGAACCCCCTCACAAAAAGACAGATCCATATCATACTTTTCCTTTGAGTTTTTTTGGAGGGCAGCGGAACGGGAGCGAACCCCTTGGCAGGTCCGAAAAACCGGTTTGCTCCATGGCAGGACACCTCCGATATGGATCCGGTGAAGCTCCAGAGCATCTTCACCCCCGACTTCGAGCGGGAGAGCTGCAAGGCCTGCCAGACGATCCCATGCTGTGCTTTGTTGCCCTCTCTGGGCAGGGAAACCGAAGGAAACCGACTCCAGATGATTTGATTCCCTTCATGTTGTCCAGGTTATCCTCGAAAGTGTTCGGGGGTCGAAGTGTGGCTATCAATTCAATACGATTCTCAAGTATGGGCATTGGACCATCGCAGGTATGGAGTTCTGCTTATGCCATGTTATGCAACCAACGTGAGGCAATTTGAGGCCCTCATGCACGTGGACTTGCATACTATGTTTGTTTTCTGTGTGTGTCCAATGTTGTGAAGGCGGCACGTGCCCAGCAAACAAACTCCAAATCGAGGCTTCTGAGCTGGTCGGTTTGGTAAGCAGCAAGCAGGCCAAGACATTCAGCCCAAGGTATGTCTGAATTTCCTTGGTCCTTCCCCAATTTACCTGGAGGCATGGTCCGCCATTCTCATCCTCTTGCCAGATAGGTTACGAGGTTTCGCTTGTAGGGGAGTGCCATTAGGTCATTCGAGTTGGAGATGCCCCCAAATGGAGCCACCCAGATGGGGTATTCTGGTATCCCCTGAAAAAATGAAGGGCTTACCTTCTGCAAGAAGGAACATGGGCTGACAGTATTGGTAGTCGATTGTTTTGGGCAGGATGAGAACCCACCCAAGTTTCCAAAGAGGGCCCGCCCAATTCTCCATCTTGGAAGACAAGTAGTTTGTCTCGCTGGAGCCAAACCTGCCGTCGCTTTTCCTTGAGCCCAGAATGCTTGCAGGATCGATTTGGCCTCGTTTTTTTGGGGCGAGATAATTACCACTCAGCACCCGAGTTTCTGGATTTGATATTTTTGTTTTTGGGAATGCCATGCATAATATTGGACCTTTTTGTATCTTTTTTGGTGAGCAGGTTCTTTCCACCAACCCAAAAAGGTGCAACTGGGCCGAACCTGGGGCCTCCGCCAACTTCTTTTTGTATTTGAGGTCAGGGACCAGAATCATGGTTGTTGTTGGGAAACATGTTGCATTTTTGCTTATTGTGGTTTAGTGGTTGAAATCCAACCAATTATCTGCTAAAATGTGAAATTTGTTGCTCCCCTAACCCAACGTCAACCAAGGAATCGGAAGTTTCATTTGTTGCGTCCAGGCTTGGGCCCCATTGGTTCTTGGCGATCGCCGGGCTTATCCCTTGGTGGGATGCATCCGTGTTCTGCGATGGGTCGGAGTTTGGGTGCGGAAACGGCGGCGAGGTGCAGGAGAACTTTGACGATCTCCAGGCGCGGGGCGTTGAGTGAAGAGGCCAACCCCATCTCCACAAGCCGAACCGTCCACGGGTGTTTCTTTTTCCGGTTCGACCCCACTGTTTTAGTGGGCCAGAGAATAAAGTCCACATGTTTCCCCGTGGGAGCAAAGAAAATCAATCTGGGACCTGTGAAATGAGCCCAAGTATCATGCTAGCTGGTCGGGCTTTTGCTCTATACGGATTGCGGATTAGGGATTAGGGATCCACCCACTTTGAGCAACCCGGATGAAGTGGTATGCCCCCCGATGCCACTGGAGTGGGCGGGTGTCGGGTATTTAATTAAAACGTGAAAACCATAAGCAACGTGAAAACCGGCAGCACCAGCCAAACACGTGAAAACCAGAAGCAAGATAAGATTGCAATAGCTAAGGAGCAAGGCAAGTGGCGGCTGGCTTGGGGCTGCCATGAGGGACGAAGCGTATCGTAGCCGGGTGGCATTTTTTTTGCAGCCGCCCGGTAAGAGAACCCACTTGAAGGGGCAACCACTTGGGCGACGTACAACCATGGTACGTGGGTTATGACCAGGCATTTACTAACCACGCACTGAGTACCCTGTAAGTCCTGCAGGAACATCATCACCTCCATTGCATGCTTAACGACCATGTCGACCGCAAAAACACCCAGAGTTTGCAGCAGCGATGGAGTCCCAGCATGGAAACCCTCCAGTTGGCGCGGAGCTGACATCGAGAGGCTCACGTGGCCCGAGAGAGACGGTGGTAGCATTCCGGACAGCCGAGTGAATGCAACCTGGCTGCTTTCGGGACACCGCGTGATGTTCGTTGCCACCGAACAAACATTCACTGCCAGGTTTGTAGCAGAAATCACCCCATGCGCGGGTCGGTGCAGGAAGTGGTCATGCGGAGCAGGGGCTGAAGTTCATGCGGATTCAGAGTCGCGGTCCCCTGGGCGCGCCTGCCATGGCTGCCCATGCCAGCCCGAGCTGGGAGTTGGCGCCATGCTGTGGACTCGGCGCTTCTGACAGGCGTCTGTCTCGCAGCTTGCGCTCAGACGGGCGCTCGGCGTCTGTGCCATCTCCGGCGCGCTTTGCCATTTGTGGCCTTAGTCGGCTCTGGCTTGGCCGTTTGGAATTGTTTTCGTGGCAAGGGCTGTTTCTTTCCAAGAAGGCTTTTTTTCCTTGGCAGTCTATGTGTACCTTAGTGCGTCGCAATTTGTTGCTTCTGTCTGCTTGGCCAGCTTAGCACTGAGTAGAACGCGTCGGGTCACACTGTTTTGTCGGACGTTCCCTTTTCAAGACATGGATGACACAAGACTCATGCAAATCAAGCAATGTTGTGGGGCCTTCTAGACCCTTAATTTCAAGGTAATTGTTTTCCCGAGTTGAAAGGTAGTTGCAGAAGAAGCAGCTGATATTGCTGGCAGTCATTTTTTAGGCCCCCCCCTACAGTACGAGTGTTCTACTATTTTGATCAGGCCGACCGGTGTCCATAGTTGCACCTGGGTTCATAGGTACAAGATTGTGGACCTTTGGATTCCATGTCACGGAGTCCTTGCACGGTTTGACAATCTTGAAGCGCCCACTGTTGATTTCGGTGCTTGTCAAATTAGGGGCCCACCCCAACACGGGTCTCTCTCCCCAAGTAGTGCCCTTTACCAACTTTGTTTTGGGGGGAGGGTGCCCCTACTAAAATAGACTACAAGAAAAACGTTGGTACCCTTATTCAAACCTCTCTACTGGAGGACCTAGTCTCTAAGGAACCAACTTCAGGAAGTTCTACAGGAAACCCCTGATCTTGGAAATTTGGCGAGTTTCCTGTAGAATTCCCTGCCGCTGATTTCTATGATAGTCGTTCGGTTTAGTAACATCCACTTGCTTGAATAGTTGTTTTATTTCCCCTGTTGGTTTGTAGATGGAATCTATCACTACTGGACATATTTTCATTTGTTCCAGGGGGCGAACAAACAAATGGAAGGTAACGTCGGTTTGCACGCCAAAAAAAAGCAAGGTCCCCTGGCCCCATGCGTTGGTCGCAAGTCCCCTGTGCCACGTGGCTCTCGATCTCTCGCCAGGTGGAGGTCCCGCTGGAGCTGGTGATGGCCGATGCCACATCCAAGTGGCCGGCGCCTCAGTGAGTCGACCGCTTGGCCCCGGCTGAAGTGAACCCGAGATGGAGGGTACATCCCGTGGCTACCGGCCATTCGGTTCCTTAGCTATTTAGCCTTTTAGCGTTTAGTGGGGTTTTCCATTTGACCTGTCAAAAGTTAAACTGTTTGCGGGGGATCTGAGGACAGCCCAGATCCCGCCCCTAAATTTTTAAATGGGGGTATTCCATGTATGGCTCCAGTTCCCCTTTCATGCGAGAAGTTTTGGTGTCTGATGATCCCCCTGTAAATACCAAATGGACTTGGGGGAGGGGGGTAACCATTATCCTTTTTCCATTTATGGTTCCATGTTTTTCATAAATACCATATTGGAGGGTTCCATTTTCCTTTTTAGAAAATTCCATTTCTGGTTCCATTTTTCTTTCTTTGTGGGGAAGACTGGAGATCAACGGAACGGTTTCGGGGGTTTGAAGCCCTTTTGGGCTCGGTATACGGAGACGAAGGGTTGAAGGGTTCCAAAACCGAATGGAGTGATGAATGTAGGTAGGCCCCTCATAATAGGCCGCCCAGAGTACACTGAAAAACAGATACATGAGTGAGAAAAAAAAAATACCTTCTAACTTCTAACCGCAGGTTTCGTCGCCATTGGACGGACGGACTCTCCCATCTTCCCAAAGCACATTTCCACTGGTGATAGGCTCCTTGAATTGCGCCTGCCAGCACCATGGATTTCGTAGATTGCACTTGCTTAGTTAGGGAAGCAGCTCTATGCAAGATGGGGACAGCTATGCTCAGAGCTAAGGCGATCAGAATTGCAGGAGAAACTCGATGATGATGGCTACCTGCTTGAGGCGCGGTTGACCAACGCGGCATCTTTGCTCTTCACCAGTCGGAGCTTTTGTGGCTAGCAGACTGCAGCTGACTTGTCCCTTTTTCTTCTGTATAGGTTCAGGGGACAACCCCGGTCGTGCCATGGTATCTTCGGTCACTTTCCCAGGTATCATATTTTTTTTGATATCGGTCCTGAGCCTTGAACGCTTTGCACTTCCCATAGACATCCATATAGATCAAGTTGAATCCTGTGAGAAAAACTCAAGTGATCCTAATGGACCTAGCAACATACCAGACTAATATGCCAAGATGCATGAAGCTCTCCTGTGTGAATAGGGAGCCCGAAAGAAAGTGAACGGCGCGAGTTCTGCAGTTTTGGATTCTTGCCGAGAAGGCAAGGGGACCCCCTAACAACCCGTTTGAGTTTTCAAGACAGCTCCTTGACATTCCCAGGGTGTCAAAACGCACACCTTGGGCCGAAAGCAACTGCCGCCAGTGGCACCCTTTCGGCCCTTCTGCGCAGTTCGTCAGCAGCCACGAACATGGATTCCGTACCGGCGAAAAGCTTTCTCGGGGCTCCTTTGGTGCATTGAGACCCAATCGGCCAAATACTGTTCTCCAAACAGGAAGTGACCCCCAACCAAATACCCCAAACCCTAAAACATCCTCAACAATAAAATACTTAACCCTAACCCTACTAGCCTAATGGTTTCCCTTTTGCACCACACCCAAAAAGGGCCTAAAAAATCGTGCACTGTAACCCGGCGGAAACTGGATAAGTCGGACCTTTGCCATGGAGTGAGCGACTTCGGAGCAGGGGTGTCTGTGGTCAACTCACTTCCGGGGTTCAATCATCAATCACTTTCGTTTGAATTGAGTTAAGCATTCAATCCGGAAAGCATTCAATTGATTCAGTGAACTTTCTCAGGATTGGGGTTCTGAATTTAGTCACTTTCGGGGTTTGGACCAGTTTAGTGGTAAACATAGTTTTGCCTTTTTCTGGCAAATCCACTCGAGCGGAAGTGAGTCAAGAATGACTTGAAGCAAGGCGTGGTTGATTTCAGCATGGGGAATACCTCACGGCTTAAACCCGCCTTTCAACGCAAAAGAAGCTCAGAGCAGGAGACCAAGTACCCTCCAGGCCGCAAGAAGCCACTCTCGCCTATAGCTCGTTTGGCCTTCCAGAATGTTCCAGGGTTTTTGGTCTCGAAACTAAGGACCGCAAAACTGACCCTTGGGTTTCCCCCCGTTCAAAAGGGGCTCCCTATATTTTTGCAAAGATCTGGTTGGTTTCCTGTTGGTTTCCTTCAAACCACCATCCAAAACGGTGTAGATAGAATCCTGCACCACCAAAGAAACTCTGGAATGATACGATTCCCCTGTAACTACCAACAAAGAATGGTCTCAGTGCGGATTCAAAGTGGTTCGAACGGATTTAGCAACCATCCACAGTATTTTGAGACAGCCCCTTTTCTTCCCCACCAGGCTTCCGATGCAGGTCCGGTTCGACCCCTTCAGAAATTCAAATCAGGGTCCAATGATTCTGAGGGTTGATCCCCCATTCGTTCCAACCATCGTTCTTTTGGAACACCCGCCGTTTCCCTGAGTTTCCGGAGGTTTTTCTGGAAAGATTTGGGAAGTCTGGGTTCAGAATGGAAATGGAAGGTAGCACTAGAATGATGTTTAGTGCGCAGTTGTTTTCAGGTTTGAGAGTTTGGCTCAGGATGTGGATGCGCGAGGGCAGCGGCCTGCGCCGACCTTGGGCTTAGGTCCTGGGACCAATTCGCCATGAGAACCTTGGGCCAGCTTGGGCGCAGTGGTCAGTGGTCTTGAATTTGGGCATAGAGGGGTGTCTCATGGACGTATTTGACTGCAAAGTCTCAATGCTTCGACCACCATCAAAATAGTGTTGGTGTAGTAGAGAGAAATTCGCGGTTTGTCTCAAAAAAAAGGACTGCAGGAGCTGTGGGGGCCTTGGGCAAGGCTACTTGGGCAGGGTCCTGGAAATTTGCACATCGCCGATTGCTGATCCCTGACTTGTCCAAAACCAAACGTTCTATTTGTTGTGTCGTTTAGGGGCTGGTTGCCGCCTAGAGACAGTTTCATTGTTCGAACCCCTGGAATTTGGACCAGTACTGTACTTGGATCTGCTCCAAACCAATTTTATATCTTAGGGTAGACTAACTATATCTTGCAGCATCAGAAGATATGCATTTCTGATTGCAAAAGGAAAGAGCACCACCCTTTAACAAGAATAAGCATGTGGAAACGGTGGGTTGACTCCACGTTACCAACCGCAAAGCATCAGCTCACTGGCCGTTCGACCTCTTCCCTACCTGCCCCAGGGTTGGGCCAACAGCTCTCTCTCTCTCTCTAGCTTTCTCCCTGTCACTCTGGAGACTCTCCCAAGACAGGGTCATATCATGACAGGATGCATTTGATCAGCGCGATCAGAGCCATCACAGTTGTCAGTTGGGCCAACCCGCAGTTTGAACGTGTTTTAATCACATTCGCTTTCTCCTATCTAGAGGATGAGCTTGAGCATGTTATTTTCATGGACCCAGCCAATCCATGCGTGAGCTTTGGTTGCCACGGCTAAGCGGCGGCTTGCATGCTGCCGGCCGAGGTAGCACTGAGCGTCGCGCTGTTGCCCAACGCCACGGACCAGGCTCGAAACATTCGTGGCTGGCCGGGTGTGGAGGGAGAGGCGGGGCACATTGCAAAGGGTGAAGCATGTGCTGTGTGTTTGCTGTTTCTTTTGTTTTTCTGTTTGGAAGGCTGTCCTCCGCCAAATGGTTCAGACTTGTGCATTTCCCTTTGAACAGAGGTCGATCACACAAGCTGGTCACATATTTGTTGTGTGCCCAGGGGAAGCAGCAACCGCCAAGTGGTGAAGATGGTGAATGCACCCCATGGTAACCGTCTAACGTCACATCTGGGCACCTCAAAGGACGGTTTGAAGAGAAACTGCCAAACCAAAACGCCATTTGCAGGCCCTAGCCCCCCTTTTCTCCCCCCCCCCCCAGTTTTGCCAAAACCGGCAACTTGGAGTTAGACAACCCACGAAGCAAACTCAGTGGTGTTGACGCAGTGTCGCATGGGCAGCGATCAGTATTCACTATCACCAACCCTGGCATGGCACTTCTGTAAAGAGCCTCTCAGTTTCCTTCGCTATGGTAAATGATCATGTGTTGCCCATGGCTCACATGTCATCCCCAGTCATATTTCAGACATGTAGGTTGGTTTTGAAGGGGACTCAGTAATCATTAGAGAGAGTGGCAACCCAGAACCCCGCACTCAATTCTCAAAAAGTTGCACCTTTTTCCCGCCTTGTCCTTGTGGGTCGATGGGTGGGTTTCCCTTCAACGTTTAGCTACCAACTTTGCGTCCTTCCTCTATTCGTTTCTGAGCCCTGTTTTGGACTTCGACTTGCGGTTGGGTGTTCCTTTTCAAAACACAGTTTAAGCCCGCTTGCTGCTCATGCAAAACTGGGCAAGGACAGAGGATCCAGGTGGAAGTCTAATTTTGATCCTGGGCTTGAACCAAAGTCCGTTTTGCCGATGTTCCCTTTCTTACCTGAGCCATGGTCAAGGTGTCTTGCATTCCCATTTGACGATCTGAATTTGGTGAGCCCTTAGGTGAGCGTCGCTCGTGTGAGGTCAAACCGGTCGTTGGCTTTTGGCTTTCTATCATTTTGGTGGTTTGCCCTCCAGTCCACCAACATGGAAACTACCGGGCCGGGGGTCCCCGTTTAAACAGAACATGGGCCTCCAAGACCTTTCTGTGAGGTTCCATGTTGGAAGCTCGCGCTCAGCTAGTTTGCTAGAAGGATCCTAAATTGCAGTGTGGCCATTTCAAGCAGGGTCTACCAGTTCCAATGCTTGGAATTGCGTTGTTCCCCCCCCCCACCTCCCCGCACCAACCTACCAGGCCCACGTTTGGAAGCCGGACGCGTCTTCCACCCCCTCCCCTGGTGACTTCCGCTAGGAGTGGGGCTTATGGCCCCGGATCCTCGCCAAGTGCCCCCGGCCATGGCGCTTAAAAAGCCTGGTGCCCAACCTGGGGGTGGCTCAACGTGATAAATTTTCCTTGGGCGGTGCCCCAAAATGGGTGTGGCTCAAACAGGTGTCAATAGTTGTTCTAGATGGGTGTGGCTCAAACACGCGTCAATAGCTGTTATAGATGGGGGTGGCTCGGGGGGAAACAAAACAACATCGACCCAATACATGGCAGCAACAGCTCAATGGAATCAAAACAAATTTCAATCTGTTGGCGCCCACATCCTGAAGCATGCCGCTTTTTGTCGCAGCTTTTCAGGTCACTCCAAATCAATTCTTTACCTATTGGAAGGTGCTTTGAGTGCCATACAAAGAGTGCGGAGAGTGCAGTTGGCGGCATCCGCATCTAAAACGTTTAGAGACCAACGGACTCCTGATTGCCTCTTTGAAAGTTCACATCTGAAGTTGTCACCGTGGAATTGAGGTCAAACTCTGAAGCAGAATGACCGGTTCATGCCGTTTCCGGCCGGCTCATGCCGCTTCCGGCCGGTCATGTAGAAAGACATGCACAGATAACATGATGTAACATATAAGCAGCTACTGCAAGCCTGTTCATAGGTGCTTTTTGTGTTTTTTTTTGTTTCCCCCGATGCGCTAAAGATGTTTCGTTTGACAACTAAGAGAGACAACCCCTGGCCGACAAGAATCGGACTTTCTGGGGCGTCAGGTATGATCGCGAAGAGCATTGCATTATTTCTGTCTCCGCAACAGCTTGGCCTTCGTCAGTATTTGCTGGCCAGCATGCACATCAGATCAGATCCATTCAAACAATTTCGGCAACCAGACTCATCTGCCACGGTTCTGGACTCTAAAGTTTGGGGCAAGATCATTTGGGTGTCTCCCCCCCAAAAAAAAACAAAACGGAAGAGAACACATTATATATATATACAAATAGCATACAAATGGTGGCTTGCCTTTTGGCTTCCCTTTAGAGCAGCCCCCAACCAGGGCACAAGAAAAGACTGAGCTCCTGTTGACCCCATATTATGAATCAACCAACCAGTTTATCAATAGGGGTGGTGTTTGGCCCTCCAAAAGTGGTGTGATTCCAACCACATGTCACCCATAACCACCCCCATTAATAAATTGGCGTTGACTAATATGGGGTCAACATGATTTTGTGGGAGAGAAGGTGGATTCACTTTTCCTGACCAATCCAAGTGAGAAGCGAGAAACCATGGTTTTGTAGGTACGAGAGCTACTGCAAGCAGGAGTCCGAAGAGGAGCCAGTGCTTGCGCACTTCGCTTTTCCATGTGGATTCAACACTGGTTGCAAGTGGTAAAGGGGCTTAAGGGGTTATGAAATTTAGTCTTAACTGGTTTCAGGCATTTCCTGTTGGAATGGCCAATTTGAAGTGAGCTTCCTGATGGTATGATGGGTAAGGAGAACAATTGGGAACTGAGGTTTCCGCACACTAACACGAGTAAAGCAACAGGATGTGAGGCAAGCTAATCCTTTGTAAATCAAACTCCACCAGCTCTTTTCTTGCTGAGCTTGGTGACGAAGCCGCACATTGTCTATGTGCAGTTTGGTGAGTACCCCATGTCATCCCCTTCATCGCGCATTCTTGTGAATATTGAGAGTTTTGCCTCATACTGTGAATGGACGAAATCCTGTACCACTTTGAAAGGTTGCTATCCGGAAGTAGAACCTAATAGCATATCATATACCTGGCTTCCTATAGCGGTACCTGCCCACCAATTGACATGGAACTAGTGCCCTTTAACCCTTTTTGGGGGGAGGGTTCCCCTACTAAATAGACTGCAGAAACAAGAGTACCCTTATTCTAACCTCTCCACTGGAACAAGTTCCTTCCCACACTCAGACCATGCGCTTCCGCCAGGAGAAGCCGATCCGGCGAGAAGCTGAAGCCAACGACCTCTTCCTGGCGATGAAGGTAGCGCAAACAACAAAAAGGTCCCGCAGAGTCGGTCCGTCGAGTAGGTGGGGTGTCAAAAAACGCAGAGTGATTTTTTGCCATTTTTTGCAAGGGAACCTCCAAAAGTTGCGTCGTTTCAATGGAAACCTCGTAGTAACTTGCAACTTCATGGGCAACTCCAGTGGCTCCTGGAAAGTGTTCTTTTGTTTGAGGGCACTTTTTTAGTTGGGGTGTACTTTGTTCCCAGGCAACTTCACCGTATGGTTTCCGAAAACCTCTTTTCCAGACCGGAAAAGTGCTCTGGGGGCCAGACACCCCAGCAGTTTCCAAAGAAGTTTTTGGGAGGGGCATAGGGGTCCTTTTTGGTTGGTTTGCTTAAACAATAGAGGGCGGTTCCTGGTTTAGATGTTGTTTATTCCGTTTACCAGGGCCATCTATTTTTCCAAAAGGCCACCTATAGGGGGGGTCTCTGTTATCAGTCCTTCTTTGTTTTTCGTTGTTTGTCCAAAAGCCAAAGGAGCGCCACTAGGACGAAAGTTGCTTTAAATGATAGGAGTGCCCCCTGCGAAACAAGGCCTCTCCTGCAAACAAAAAAAAAGCAAAGTCCAGTCAACACGTCCTCGCAACATGTCCAATCAACAAGTCCCATATCAACATCTCCAGCCAACCGTCCAGGAAAAAAGAAACACAAAAACCACAAAACACAAACAATCAAAGCCTAAAACAGCCCAAATTGACATAGAAGAAAAACTAATCAGAGCCTAAAACAGCCCAAAGTGACATGTCCTTAAAAAGAAATCCCCCGGGAAGCCCAGCACCACACACCTCCCCCCCGAGTTTCGCTTCCAGCGAAGCGATCTTCGCCAGGAGCTCGTGGAGCATCATGGCAAGAGCCCGGATGCCATGGCCTCCCGGAAATACGCGGCGCCGGCGATGCTTTGTTTTTTGTTCATGTGTTTCTGTGTTTTGTTTTTTGTTTTTTTGTTTTGTTTTTGTTTTGTTTTGTTATTTTCTTTGCTTTGTGTTGCTTTTTTCTTGTTGTTTTCCTTTTTCTTCTCAGAATTCCGGCGGTGAAGTTGTTCTGGGTTTCCTCGTGATCGGCGGATGTTTTCTTAGACGTGGCACTCACTTCCCGAGCTCCTGGACCTGGACCATTTAGCGGCGAAAACCATCGAGACGCTCTAGGGGTACCTTCCATTTCCATTCTTTCCAGGCATCCTGTTTTCTAGAAAACCACCAAACACCTTGGGGAAATGGCTGGTGTTTGAAAAGAACGACGGCTGAACATAATGGGGAATGAAGCCACTAGAGAGGTACTTGTTTTGGCCAATCCGCTCACGAAGTGAGAATGCAATGACGGATGGTCTGTTTGTTATCCATTGGTCGTTTTTGTTTTGGGGTTTTGGGGTTTGGTATTTTTTCCGGGTATTCTCTTGGCGGTTGATTGAAAGGGACACCAAAAGATGGGGTTCGCTAGTTTGACACATTCCCGCATAGGTGGTCAAAATCTCCAAAGTTCCTGCAAAACCGGGGGAATCTCTTGAAGACGTAGGTTTGTCTCAAAGTGGTGTTTGAACTCCAGAGTCCTGGCATTTGCTTGTCCAATCCATGCCAGAGCTTGGCGAAGCTGTGGCTGCACAAACGTCTTGGCAACGTTTGCGTTGCTTTCTGCCCAGCACTCCCACATGAGGTTGAGAGGGGGAGCTGCAAGGGAAAGCTAAGTGTGTGTGTGAAAAGAAGGCAATGGGGAAACAACTCCTAGAGTTTCCAGACAGATGCGCAGGGAAGGATGCTTCATGAAAGCCTTTTTGTGTGTGTTATGGGTCTGCTTATGACTACATTCATAATGCGGAAGGTCCGGGTGTCATTCTGGCCCATTCAGATGGACCGTGCAGACAGAAAGTCGTGTTGATGTGGCTGTGGCCAGAAAAGGAGCCATGGAAGAACGTCAAGAGGCCAATGATGCAACAATTCAGCGGCACGAGCAGCGCATAACTGCATTGCAAGAAACACCGACACCTTCTGTGGGGTATTGTGGTCGGCTGCAAATATGCAGGCTACAAGAGTTCTGAAAGAAACAACTGGGTGTGTCTTTTGTTAGGGGACCCCCCAACATGGTGGTTTTCCTTTTGGTTTCCCTTCAAAACCACGCCAAAAAAGGGGGGCCAACTCCAAAGAAGGACAGCCACATCACCTATACTGCATTCATTGTTTAACGTGGCTGCCTTCTTGAGGTTTCGGCCTACCTCTTAAACCAAGAGCTACTTCTTGTATACATATCCGTTCACCTTGCTTACCCTTTGTCTAAGATGGTTTCCCCTACCCCCAAACCAAAGCTACCCCGAAGGGTGCCGGAGATGCAGCCACGAAAATGGCCACCATGTACAGGGTACTTGCCCCAACTTTTTTGTGGGGGTAGTGGTTTGGGGCTAGTGGACACCATCTCAGACTTTGGTGTGCCTTTCACTCAACTTGTTGTAACATGTTTTTTTTTTTTCTCACTCGCCATCTTGGCTTTTGGGACCATTTGGATTAATCCAGTTACACTTGGTTCGACTATTTGCAGGTCATCAGCTGCATTTGGTTTGCCTGCAACTGCCAGTTGAAGATCGTGAGGGCAACCTATAGTGGAAGCTGTGCGAACAAGGCGTTGGCGGTCGAAGCGGCTTGAAGGGAATCCTTACAAGATCTCCTTGCTCCCCTCCTAGCTGCTCGGACGTGCCACCTACCTGGTAATTGGGTTCCGACCATGAATAAATGGGACAAGAGAGGGTGGACATACAACCACGGCTATATCATTTCCTTACGAAGTGAGTTGAGATCACTGGCATGGATGTTCAATTGGGGGCGTAGGGGGTACGAGAAATGCATGGCACCCACATTTTGGAGGGGAACCCACTTTGAATGCAATCCCACCTGCTGGCTGCCTGAAGTGAGCCCAAGAGAGGCCTCAATCATTCGGGTTTCATTTGTGGAAAAAAAACAAGGGGGAGGAGGTTGGCCTTTTTGGACTTCTTGGGTGGAAAGGTTGGATAGTTCCGTATCACTTCCGTACCTGGCTCTGAACCTCCTTGAAAGGAATCAGTCGAGGCCGCAACCAGGTGTCACAGAAGTACAAGACTTTTCCGCAGCCCTGATCCTATGCTTTGTGACCCTCAGGCCCTTCTTTTTCCTTAAAGGTAATCACATGGGTGCATTGCTTTGGTCAAGGTTTCCTCCACTTCCTGGTTTTGGCGCCTCCAAAAGTTGGCAGTTTCCATAGCCACCGCTTTGATCAACTTCTGAAGGGGACAACTATGGTTATTCATGTTAGTTTCCTTTGGACGCGTCGCCAGGGAATCAAAAAAAACAACTTCCCCCATGAGATCCGTAGCAACCGGAGCTTTGGACGTTGCGGTTTGATGGGGAGTCAAGGCGTTTGTCAAGTTGAACTGTTGAAGGGACCTATGGTGAAGTGGCCCAGGGTCACCGGATTTCCTTGAGGATTTGGGACTTACGTTCGGCTCACTTCTTTTGGTTTGCCCTGTTTGGCCCACTTTTAGTAAAGGTCCCCAGAGGTTAACCTTTTTTCCAGGTCGTTTGGACAAGTGAGTACTTGTGAATTGCTAGGGGTACCTTCCCCATTCTTTCCAGGGATCCAAATCTTTCTAGAAAACCTCCGGAAACCGAGGGAAAACAACCGGTTTTTGGAAAGAACGAGGGTTGAAAATAATGGAAAAGGAATCAACTCCTAGATTGCTTGTTTTCCAGAGGGCCCCGAAAGAGATACAAACTTGGGACCAGAGATCACAGGATTCTTCGGTCAAACCCCTATACCTGGAACCTGAAACAACCCATTAAATGGGAGCTCTCCAGACAACCATTTCCTATGAAGAGACCTGCTTGATTTGGAAAAATGGCAGTTTGAGAAACCCAGCATGTGTAAATGGTTGCCTCAGGTTCCAGGTGGCTTGAGCGGCACGTCTGCGGATCCGGCAGTTCCCGCATCTGTTTTTGTCCCGTCGAGGACCGCGCGGCGGCCTTGGCCAAGTTCGGGGACTTTTGGGCGGCGCACAAAGACACCGAGCCGGGCGCCCCAAAAAAAGACCGGCTCTTGGGCTTCCGGGGGGGGGGGGTGTTTCTCGTTAAGTGTTCGAACTCAGAGCGGAAGATTAGAGACTGAGAGCAGCGTGGGCTTTGGGAAATGGCAATGAGATTGCTGCATGAGTGGATGCTGTGAATCAAGCACAGAGCAAAAGAGAAACGAGAGAGCCAAATAAGGGCGGAAAAATATGAGCCGGGTCTGCTTCGGTGGAGTCTGGAGTCCGCGATTCGGATTCGGGATTCGGGGTGGGCTGGAGGCCTTTCGCCTGAGTGGGCACGAAGTTTTGAAGTGGTGTTCCAAGTTTTCAAAAAGAGGCGCCTCGCATCAAGAGCCGAACAACTTGCTGGCAATGTCAGTTAGCCCAAGCTCTTGGGATGAGGCCGATGTTTGCCAATCCATGCCAATCCCCTAGAATTGTTTTGGTTCGCTGGCCGGGCTGTTACTTGTCAATTAACATGGAACGGCGCTTTTTGCGGGATCCTTTCCTGACAGGGAGATTGCGCTTTTAACAGCGGAGTGTTGGGTCCCACGGTCTGCAATGCATTTCTCAGGCTTGGGGGTTGCGTTTGGCTTGGCTCACGCATGCGGGCTGGCCCCCAATCCGCCCCATATCAGGGGTTTGAATGAACCTCCCTGGACCATTGGATGGTCCCCTACAGATAAACATGGAGCTCCAAAACAATATGTAGAGGAATCTCTTCTGTAAAACATATGGACACCTTTTTTGGGGTTCCATGTTAACTGGCACGGGAGTATTGCCTCAAACATACCCACACCTTTCAGAAGGGGCCTAGCTTCAGCAGTTTCTGCAGCAACAACGTTTTAAGTTGATGCAAGCTGCACTTGCCTCTTGGAGCGTCAAGGCGCATATTTGGGGGAGCTTTTGCTTTCTGAAAATATGTTGATCACAATGGAGTTGCTGCCTGTTCGGGCAACTAGTATTGCAATTGTCTTTGCGGCATGCCATGCTGTTGTGGATGTGGTGTCTTGAGTATTATTGGAGGCCTAGCAGACAGCATCCCACTTTTTGAAACAACAGAGCTGGGTCGTTACCTGGTTCACTACTGCCACGCATCAAAGTGAGATATGATGGAGAGATACATACGTCATCATACGTTTGAACCACTGTTAGTAAGACGTGGCTCATTGTGTCCTGGAAAGGCCTTTCCTGCTGATTTCAGAGGGGCAATGACAATGCTGGCGCTGCAGGCAGAGTGTCCTAGTCATAATGGTGAGCGCGTGAACAGACCAAACCACACAGTTTGAAAATGTGTGGTAGAGTGAAATGCTACTTCTGCAGTTGCCGCGACATCGCTGGTGGATGGCACTTATCTACCGCGGAAGGAAGTTATGTGTCAAATCGCAGGGGCGTGCCATGCAGTCCTTGAAAGACGGAGCCACACATGTTGTTCGAAATGTGTCCAAACAACGATGCATTCCAAATGTGCAAGCAAAATGGCGATAACGTTCAGCCAAAAACGGCGAACATTTTTAGCCGGCGACTATCCCATCAGTGCTTAGAACCTTCTCGCTGCTTTAGAGGAAATACAATTTTGTTGTCGCTTTGTGGTTGCAGCCTCCTCTCATAAACTAGACCTGCAGACAACATCATCAACAGCTGCTTTAGTGATTGCGCTTGTGTTTGCCAATTGGACTGTGTGAAGCAAATATGCAAGCACACGTGCGCTACGATATTTTTTGCTGGGGTGTTGGGAAACATCGAAGGGTTGCAGCAGATGGAAAAGCAATCGGCAAGGTGTCAGATATTGTTGCCTATGCGCGGATTGTAAGCTGAACATTACTTGGCGTGTCAAGTTGCAATACTTGGCATTACCCTTAGGGTCCCGCGTAGCTTCTGAGGAAGTACTTCTAATTCCCGTACATGCTCAGACCAGGTTTGAGGCCGCGTCCATGCTGAGACACTTTTGGGGCAGCGGGTGGGCATAGGGTGACCAACAACACCGATCAGCAACTAAGCACCCTCACATGGTCTGGCTTTTCGAACGTGAGATTCTGGGCAGCACGTGCCCCCAGAATTTGGCCAGCATGCAGGGAGGGCCCATGTACGTGCTTGGACACTTTCCGGGCCGAAGCGCTCGATCCTAGGTGAGGGGCATATGCGGCATAGATCTTTCCACACTCTAGCACAAATACTTCAATCAATTGTGTTCAACCCATGCCTTGCTTGCGCCCTTTTGACCCTTTGTTTTGTATTAGAGCACGCTAGCCCAGGAATCCAACCCAACGATGCCAAGCTTGGCCAACTTGAAGAGGGCACCAGCACTTAGAAACAAGCAGAAACAAGCAGGGGCTGAGCAAACAGTGGCCCTTTCTTGGTGTGCAGATTTCGTGGCTGCGGGATGTGTAGCTGGACTAGGCTCATGCAGATTTGGAGTCGATGCGTGAGTTCATTCAGGCTGCAATCATGCGCTTTATCCCCGATGCTGATGTTCAGAATCTGCCTCCCCGAGAAACGCTTGAGAGAGCAGATTCAGTGAAACCGGGGAGGCTCACTCATCATTGATAGCCGATCGACAATGGCTAAATTGGCCTGGTAGCCCAACGGCAAAGCTCATTAATGGTACAGCCATCCATGATGAGTGTGCTCAGCCTGTTGTTTTGTGACGTCGGAGCCCTGCAGGAGGTTGATTCTGTGGGCCGTCAGGACTCGGAAGCAAACCGTTGCTGCTCAACTTGTCCAGTGTGTTCTGTAAAAAAACATGAAAGTTTGCGCCTCTGGAAGCTGGGGCTGCTTAGCCGTTTTTACTGAGCAAGGCTTGTTTAAGATGTCGATGATGACCTCAGGTGCGCCCTTAGGTGTTGCAAGTTGGCTAATTGCAGTGTCTGTGCGTGTCTGTGTTCCCGGCCTACTGCTGTTCCACTTTTGGGGCATGTGGGCGCTGATCGGAATACACGCTTTGCCTCGATAACTGGCAACCCTAGCTGTTTTAAAGCAACTCTGAAACTTAATATATGTTTCAATTATACATTGCATTAAATTAGGGTCTTCTGATTTGGCGTAGTGTCCAGGTGGGCTCGAGGATATGACGTGTGGCTGCCTGACATTGAGGTTGGTGGCGCAAAAGCCAAAATGTGCCCCAAGCAAGGCCAGGATGCTGTGTAAGTCGACCGCAACTCGACAGCCAACCTTTACCGCGTAGCCCTTGACCCTGGTTATCCGTGTATGGGGTTTGCCAGGAAGACCTAGGCCGAATCGCCACTCTCACAGATCAGGCATAATCAATTCAGGGTGCACGTCGTTTTTAGGTTTGGTGGGAACTCTGGGGCTAGATGAATGGAATCGGCTTCCAAGCGCGCACGTGGCATAGTTTTGGGCAAGCCGGAGTCTTAACGGGGGCGATACACTTGTCCTCGAAAACAGACCCAACCAGAGCGTAACCAGACAATCTATTACATTGGTGATCTGCTTTGATTTGCAGGGCTTGCAGCTTGACGCCCCGATTTCTGGCGAGAAACTGCGTGGCACGTTCTTTTTTTTTTTTCTTCTCTTTTTTTTCCGACCAGTGTTAGCAACAGTACAACAATGTTTCGCATGGGGTCCAAGTAACAAGGCAGATGTACTTCACCCCACAAACCCGTAAACACACTCATGGCACTCGCGCCCCGAGGGGTCTTTGAAGCGTGTAATTGTTTTTCAAAAATTGGACTTTTTGGTTGCACCTTGGGGTGCAAAGCCAATTTCCGGAAAACATGCTGAATTTGATGTTTTTCCAGATATGCCGTGTGTGACAAAGCATACAAGCCTCTAAGTGGCCCAGCCTGAGACGAGTGTGGGCAGGTTGCGCGCGTTTGTTTTGAGACATTCTGAAGGGTTGGTTGATCAGGAATTATTCGGGATTCTGGGCCAGCTCGTCAGGCGCTCGGCAACCCTCTAAATATTTGGCCACTTCAAATTCGCATTTCCGGGTTGAGGGCTTCGTGACGCGGCCAGCTCATGGAGAGTCTAACGAAATCTAACGCAAATCTAACGCTGGAACGTTGCCCAGCACGGTCATTTAACGCAATTTGCACGAATCTAACGCAAATCTAATGCCGCTTGGTTCGCATCACCGTTCAACCAATCATTGCTTCAAAACCCTTCCTAACACCGCGGAACCGCAAAACCCATCCAGTGCAGCCCAATCAAGGCACATGCTGAGCAATTTGTCTAGACGTGGGCAGATTGGCTCAACAAGGGCTGCCTGTCCCACCATCCCGAAAGCACTGAGAAAGCCTATGCAAACGATTGCGCGAATGCTGTACGTGAGTAGGTGTCAGAAAAGGGCTTTCAACACATCCCAAGCGCACCGATCGTGATTCCTGCATGCCCACCAGTTGCACATGGACAGGTGTCAATACAAGGTCTTCTTCAATAGCTTCAATAATTGCTACTTGGACCGGACCCCATGCGAAACATTGTTGTAGTGTTGCTAACACTGGTCAGGAGAAGTTCCCGGAGAAAAAAAAGGAGAAACAAAACACGTGCCACGCAGTTTCTCGCCAGAAATCGGGGCGTCAAGCTGCAAGCCCTGCAAATCAAAGCAGATCACCAATGTAATAGATTGTCTGGTTACGCTCTGGTTGGGTCTGTTTTCGAAGACAAGTGTATCGCCCCCGTTAAGACTCCGGCTTGCCCAAAACTATGCCGCGTGCGCGCTTGGAAGCCGATTCCATTCATCTAGCCCCAGAGTTCCCACCAAACCTAAAAACGACGTGCACCCTGAATTGATTATGCCTGATCTGTGAGAGTGGCGATTCGGCCTAGGTCTTCCTGGCAAACCCCATACACGGATAACCAGGGTCAAGGGCTACGCGGTAAAGGTTGGCTGTCGAGTTGCGGTTGACTTACACAGCATCCTGGCCTTGCTTGGGGCACATTTTGGCTTTTGCGCCACCAACCTCAATGTCAGGCAGCCACACGTATATCCTCGAGCCCACCTGGACACTACGCCAAATCAGAAGATCCTAATTTAATTCAATGTATAATTGAAACATATTAAGTTTCAGAGTTGCTTTAAAACAGCTAGGGTTGCCAGTTATCGAGGCAAAGCGTGTATTCCGATCAGCGCCCACATGCCCCAAAAGTGGAACAGCAGTAGGCCGGGAACACAGACACGCACAGACACTGCAATTAGCCAACTTGCAACACCTAAGGGCGCACCTGAGGTCATCATCGACATCTTAAACAAGCCTTGCTCAGTAAAAACGGCTAAGCAGCCCCAGCTTCCAGAGGCGCAAACTTTCATGTTTTTTTACAGAACACACTGGACAAGTTGAGCAGCAACGGTTTGCTTCCGAGTCCTGACGGCCCACAGAATCAACCTCCTGCAGGGCTCCGACGTCACAAAACAACAGGCTGAGCACACTCATCATGGATGGCTGTACCATTAATGAGCTTTGCCGTTGGGCTACCAGGCCAATTTAGCCATTGTCGATCGGCTATCAATGATGAGTGAGCCTCCCCGGTTTCACTGAATCTGCTCTCTCAAGCGTTTCTCGGGGAGGCAGATTCTGAACATCAGCATCGGGGATAAAGCGCATGATTGCAGCCTGAATGAACTCACGCATTGACTCCAAATCTGCATGAGCCTAGTCCAGCTACACATCCCGCAGCCACGAAATCTGCACACCAAGAAAGGGCCACTGTTTGCTCAGCCCCTGCTTGTTTCTGCTTGTTTCTAAGTGCTGGTGCCCTCTTCAAGTTGGCCAAGCTTGGCATCGTTGGGTTGGATTCCTGGGCTAGCGTGCTCTAATACAAAACAAAGGGTCAAAAGGGCGCAAGCAAGGCATGGGTTGAACACAATTGATTGAAGTATTTGTGCTAGAGTGTGGAAAGATCTATGCCGCATATGCCCCTCACCTAGGATCGAGCGCTTCGGCCCGGAAAGTGTCCAAGCACGTACATGGGCCCTCCCTGCATGCTGGCCAAATTCTGGGGGCACGTGCTGTACATTGACCATGTTTAAACCAAACATGCTCATACAATGTTTCCTTGCGATCTTGACCAGCCCCTCTGAGCCATATGGCCCCAAAAAGGCCTCAGCACGCACATGGGGCCTCCGACCATGCTGGGCATGCTTTTGCTGAACGACAGTGCTGGAGCACTTACTTCGAAAGACCTTCCTCAGAAGGTACATGGACCCTTAGGGTTATACATATATATATATATATGCAAGAAGGCTGGAGTTGTACTGAACAGTTGAGATTTTCGAGCTGGAGCTGCCAAAATGTACTTTGTGTACTACACTTGCACTGAAAAGTTTGATTTTCCAGCTGGAGCTGCCAAAATGTACTTGGCGTTCTGCACTTGTACCAAAAGGTCGCGATTTCGAGGTCTGCTGGAGCGCAAGAAGCACAATACGCTGCCAAGCGACAAGGAGTTAAAATTAGGGGGCCCCCCAAAAAGGAGTACTCTCAATAAAAGGCAGACCCATATGTCGCCTACAAAAGACTGACCCAACAAGCCCATATACGTGGACGAAGTCCCTTCGCACCACTTGGCCGCCCTGGTTGAAACCATTATTGGTTGGCAAATTATTCGCAGGGGGATCGAATCAGAGACCATAATTTCTTGGATTATAGTGGTGCGAGAAGGTTGGGTTCGTAACCATCCGCGTAGGTCGACCTGCGGTATCTTTCAGGGGACCATTGACTTGGCGTCGTCGCGTCGCTTGCGCGACCCGAGGTTTCCGGAGCCGAAGGCTGGATGCGCCAAACCCATGGGAGCCCATGCTTCCCTCGATGCCTCAGCGCGCTTGTCATAGGTAACTTGCTGATGCAATAGGTTGGAAATGTGGGAATGAACCCAGGCTTTGGTCCCCTCAAAGGAAACCACCAGCTGGATGGTTTTCTCGGTTGGTTCCATTTCTGATTCTTAGCTGAGCACCAGCAGTTCGTTTGTTTGTTACATTCAATCCCGCATGGAATGTACCCCCGAACAGGGGAAGGTTGAATTGAGCAGCGGGCTTCGGGTCTTGTGTTGTTTCTATGACTGCCTCAATGCATTCTTGCATCACTCGGATCGGTCTCATTTCTGTCTGAAGCAGTGTAGATACGTTGGATTTGGAGGCAAATCCCGTTGATCCGAAATTTGAAGAAGAACCATATGGCGCCCCTGCCCAATGTTGACGCGCCTCCCCCAACGCGTACTCAGAAGTAGGGTATATAGGAGAGCCCATGGTTCAAGCTCGAACAAAGAGGTCCTCAGTCTTGCGACACCCATACACCTATGCCCGTTCGTTTGGTGTGCGATTCTTACGCGTTGGGCGGGCTCCTGGTGCAGGGCCGAGCAAGGTTACCATAGTTCTGCTGGTAGCTTCCCCATTCTTTCCAAGAATCAGTTTGCCCTGAAAACACTAGTGTCTGAAAACAACCATATGATTTTTTTAAAAAGATGGAAAATCAATCATCCTCTTGAATGGTTCCTTCAAAGGCCCCGATGCCGTTGATTTTTTGCCCCGCATACCCATTTCCTAGTCATTCTAAATTATAGTGGTTTTACCATGAAGTTTTTGAGTGGTTCCCGCTGTTTTCAAGCCGGATGGCATGTCCATGAACCCCTTGGGTCCGGGTGGCAGTGCAGCGGAAAATTCTATGGATTGAACATAAAAAAATGGAGTTGTTTTTCGGGTCGTCAAGGCTACCCCTCCCAAACAAAAACAGGAACGCCTGAACCTGTGTGTACCCTTTTTGGTTGGGGCCACCGTTGCCAGCTTTGGGGTTCCCCTTCAAGTCACACCTTTTGGGCCCCGGTAAAGGATGCTTCCGGTCTCAACGGCAGGTGCACACCATGGCAGCTCTGAAGTACAAGCTCATCGATCGCCAGCTCTTGGAGAAGGCGAGAGGAGGGAGTTCACGCCTTGGGACTTCGGGGGAATGGATGCCACACGTGCGCTCTCCAGGTCCAGGATCGCGCAGTTTGTACCGTTTTTTTTGTTGGGGGGGGAGATTCGGTTCCCCTAAAATAGAGTACAGAAAAAATCGGGTACCAACTTGTTCGAACCTCTCTACTGGAGGATCTAGCTCTTCGTCAAAACAACAGTCTCCTTTTTTGGTTGTCCCAGGGAGCCAAGCTTTGGTGAACATGTCCAATGAGGCCCTGCACCAACCACACTTGACTCCTTGCAATAGGCAGGGACATGTCATTTCTTCTTGCATGTGCAAAGAACACAGGCGTTGGAGCGTACTGGCTGGTAGCTTTCAGAGGCGAAAGGCGTTGCATGTGTGTGTGTGTGTGTTAGCTAGGCACTAGCCTTATCTTCCTTGAATAAGCACCTTCCGCATATGTGTGTGTGTGGCCCTTTTTTTTAAGGGGCCCCAATATGGTGGTTTTCCTGCCCTTTGAGACCCACAAAAAAAGGGTGGCCTCAAACAAAAGCCGCACCCATATCTTGGTTGTTGGCATGTACAGCACCTTCAGTTTTCCAGCCGTGTGGATCAGATCGAGACAAAGTCCAGGTTGACCCTGGGTTGAGAGAGGCTAGGTCCCCCCAGTGCCCTTTCTCTCCCCTTTTTTGGTAGGAGGGTTCCCCTAAAATAGACTACAGCAAAAAAACAAAGTACCCTTATATTCTAACCTCTCTATACTGGAGGACCTAGGAGGGCTGCCCCATGTTAGAGGGAATCCCTTCACGCTTTGGGGGACGCTCTATGACTCTGCAAGGCTTCTTAAGCTGGGGTCGGCATTTCTGGATGCCCCGACGCGAAAGCATTCCGTTCGGCAGCCTTGTCAGCCAGGCGCCCACATCTGAAAGATGCTTGCGGGAGGTTCTTTTTTGTTTTTCCCTGTAATCTATGGCCCATGATGGTTGGACGCATATTTTGACCGTGGCACACGTAGCTCTCTGCAGGCTGCGACCAGAAAAGGCCGCGACCAGAAAAGGCCATGGTTCTCCTTTTGGCTTCGCTTAAAAAACCACCCAAAAAGGGGGCAGCCGCGGCAAAAAACCAAACATCACCGGAGATTTGGCCTCACACTGACTCCGATCGAGTGGATTGGGTCCAAAAACAGCGGAACTATTTATTTACAACTAAGATGGTCCGAACAAGTTTTAAGCCTAGGAACTCAGGGAGTGAGTATACAACTGTCATCCTATTAGGTTAAAGGGACACCAAGGTTTCTGACTGGGCCTCTGTTTGGTACGAGTTGCCTTCCTCAATGTGGCCAAGTACGGTTTGGTTTCCCGATGCGTAAACGAGGAAAAGCGGCAACGGAGTTGTTCCGTTGTTGCCAAGTGTCACCCGGCCTCCCTGGTTTCTGGGGGCCCTTCCGCCCGGGCTTCTTATCCTCGGCTTGCCCCTGGTGTTTCAAGGGATGTCTCCCGATTTCGGCCTGACATGGCTCCAAACTTTGCGCAACGAGAGAAATGAAAGGAAGTCTTGGAAAGAAATGCTTTCAGGGGGACACGTCGAGCATGTCCAACTCTTCAATTTGACACAGCTATGAGCACCCAAACAAGGGCCTGAGATGACTCGGAGGAATGGGAATAAAGGAACGGCCTTTGGTAGTTGACTTAAAGGGAACCCTCGCCTACAAAGAACGGGACAAGGAAAGGACAATACGGTAGGTTTGGACAACTTGAGGGAATCACGGACAGGCATAGGTAGCATCTACGCCCTTCTCGAGTTTCGGCCTTGCCTCATTCAAGGAACTTAAAAGAGACGAGCCACCCACATGGCGGTGTGGAACGTCAGCTTTTGGGCTTCTGAAGGTGAGCCTACCGCAATCAAAGTAACCAAACCTGCCTGCATGACATTTGCTTGGCGCCCCCAGGTGATGTTAGCTGCCCCTGGTTGGTGGTTTTCCAAGCGACACCTAGGGGAAAACCACCATATTGGGGGGGTCGCAAACTTAAAAAAGACGAGCCCCCCGCATGGCAAGATCTGTGAAGATTTGTGCTCGGGGAAGGCCAAGAAGTTGGCCTCGGACTGGCAGTTGCCGGAGGGCTGGGCCGTGAAGTTGGGCAAGGACGGACGCCTCATGAAGGCGGGGGAGTCTTGTGGATGAGTTCGAGCGACGTAAAAGAAACGAGGCTTTAGACTGGATTCAAGTTGTTAAAACTGAAGGAAGGTAAAAACCCTTTTGTTGGACCATTTTGTTTGGGTCATTAGTTAATGTCCCAAAGTGATTGCTTTGGATCCTGCCTGCAAGGCAGTCTTGCCTTTTATCCCAGAGGATTTGAAGGGAAATCAAGACTCTATAGGGATTTGGTCCCTTGATGTCCCTCTCCTGAAAAAGGAGATGCCTAACATGTGCAATGACTGAATGAATCCATCAACGAACACGTCCAACATGGATTCCGTGTGGCTCACACACACTCAGCCCTTGGAGTGTCAGGTCTTTGGCCCAAAGTCCTAGGTCCCTCTCGCCAAAGACGAAAGGCATTTCCTTGTCGCGCGAGGGCTGGGTCAGCTTGTTGGGGCCAAAGGCCAAGCAAGCTCGAAGTCTGACTTCTTTAAGGTTGGACCCCCCCAGAAATTGTGGGTTTGCTGTTGGTTCCACTCTCAAAAAGGGTACCTCAAAAAAAGACAAGGCCTTGGCACTTGGGGTGTGCTTTCGAGGGGTGGCCAGTTGAGCAGTCGGAACGTGGCAGATTTGGTGTTTCGGCGTTGGATACCGTAGCCCGGGGCCGGGCTTGAACTTGGCCAGGTGAAGCACTGGATGCCCTGTTCTCCATTTAAAGGGCAAAACACATGGGCTTGGAACCGTTGTCCTTGACTGCTCCTTGTGTGTTTGGGACCTTTTGTTGCAAATCCCAGCTACCAGTACAGTGGGTATATAGCCAGCCATGTTTATTTTTGAAAAGAAAAGGTAGCCCCCTTGGGTAGTTCCTATAGAGGTACATGGGTGTTTGTCAAACTGGGGGGACCCCACACATTGGTGCCTGTTGGCTTGAAGAAGTTCAAGTGACATCGAAATTGCCCTCCTGCACTAAGTGTGCAATAACATTTGATGCATATTTACACTCTTGGTGCAACCGGAGTTGCAGATAGTTTTTCTACATTACTGTGCGCTGACGTGCTGTAAGGTCGTTTCTGGTATTTCTCCAGGGTGGCGCGTGGCTTTACCGCCGTGTTACACCAAGTGGTGGCTCAAAGGGAAGCCCCGCAAGTTTAGCGAATCTTACCTTCATGGGCCATTTGTAGCCCCTTGTTGTTTTGGCCTCATCGACACGCGAGGTGACGGGGCCCGGCAAGATGGAGATTTACCACAGCAAGGCAGGTTTGGGAGGGACGCTGTGGACTCGCTAGATGCCCCACAAACACCAGGCGACTCACTGATTGTCCTTTGTCCATTTGGGGAGGCAAGTTTTCTTGACCGGGCTTATGTGGAAAATGTGGTTTTGGGCTGCCACTGTTGGCATACCAAGGGAAACCGCGTTACAGTGACAACCTAGTCATGACGGAGAAAGTGCGCTTTCCCCGCACGCACAGGAGTTCTCATTGCCTTGATGAGTGCCAAAAGGGCAGCGTAGGTCTTCTTTGAGACATGGTTTCCTCATGGCCATGTGGAGATTGCACATGCAGAACCACCAGATTGCCAGCAAAAGCCTCGAGGCCGCCCAGACCAGTGCAGCCTTTCTTGGAGAATGCTCATCTTACCCCAAAGGCAATGCACTTACTGCCAACCCTTTGGGGCAGTGGGTGAGCCAGTTCAAATGGGGTGTCCATTCAAACATGAGCTTGGTATTCTTTTCGGCAACCAGGTTGCCATTTGGAAAAGAAACGTTCAATTACTGGTGTGTCCATTCGAACAGGAGTTTGGGGTTTCGGCGACCAGGTTGCCAGTTTGATTTTGTGACTCACTGGGCTTGCGGGCTTTGCGCCCGCCACAGCGCGAACTGCACGGACATGCGGCAGACTCAAAGCGCTCTGAGCGAGAACAGTCCTTCAGGGCAAAACAAGGGGTGGTTGATGTTCTTAAAAGCTGTTGAAACTCCTGGGTTGAAGTCTACCTTGGAATAGTCAAGAAGTGGAACCCTGTCCTTTGTGGGTACAAGCTTGGCCGCCTCTAAATCGGGTTATAAACCTAGAACAAAACAGAGGCGGTTGTAGTGATGTACTTAAGGAGGGGCACTTGTTTTTTGCCTGGTTGGGCGTGGAGGCTTTGCCAATGGCTGTTTGAAGTTCAGTCAACGTATTTTTGATTGTCCATTTGGGTAGGGCCAGGCGGGGGCATCTAGGGACTCGCCAATTTTTGCACAAACAAATGTTGCCCATGTCCTTTCGTGGAACACATAATTTGACTGTGGCTTAGGAAAGGTGTTTGTGATTCGACTATCTTTCAGAGATGAGGCATTTTGCAATTTCGCGACGCAAATCAGAGTTCACTCGCACTTCAGCAACTCGAATCGAGTTTTTGAGCGCCAGCGTGTGGTGTGAAAAGCTTGTTAACATCTTTCCAGCTCAGACTTGCCAGCCCACGTTGCCCATAAACCCGTCTTTCCCACACCTGCAGTGGAATGTCTTATACGGGTGTGTCATGTGTGTCACAGGAATCTGACGACTTTCACAGAATGAAATGCGTCATGCAATAAGAAGCCCCCAACAATGGCTTTCCTGTTGCCTTTTCTTCCCTTGAAGCCTGTGCTTGAGTCCGGGTCCTGTCCTAATTTTCTTGCCGGTGCTCAGTAGGGAATGAGGGAATGAACCGAACGGATGGCTTTTCTTGGGCCTGAGCACCAGCAAGTAATTTTCGTCAACTCCCAGGGTGCCTTGTAGTAGCCGCAGTGCTTTGTTCCGGGTTTTGCCTCTCTCCGAATCATCAGTGGCTGAGGGTGAGCCTGGCCAGATCTGCAGAAACGTTTCCGTGGTTCCTTCAAAGCCATCATTGAAAGAAGGTCGCCCAGTTAGCTTGTCCAATCGCTCAGATTTGGGTGTGGCTCAAAATCAAAAGACTCTAGGGATACGCAGGTTTTAGTCTACTTCTTCACTTACCAGGGTTCCATTTTGGGCCTCTTTTTTTGAGCCACCCCCAATTGATCAACTTTAAGTTGGTCGAATTGATCTTAGACTGGTCGAGCCAATCGGTAATCCTATCTCAAATCTTGAACAAATGAGAATTCTAGCCCAAATCTTCTTGAAAAAACGAGCCCCCCCCCCTCACATGTTTGTTTCGAATTGGCCCACCCCCCAGCAGAAATCGCCACCAGGAAGCTGCCCTGCAGGCTGTAGAGGCCAAGGCGCGCGGATGTTTCTTGTCCGCGTCTCGTCAGACACAAGGATTTCTGCAAGGCGTGGATGCCTTACATGCATGGAACAAATTGGAGGTCTTCTTGGGAGATGTCGTTTTGTGAATTGCCTGTTTAAGGTTGGACACCCCAAAATCACGGCTTCGGTGTTCCTGTTAGCTTCCCTTTAAAGCCATCCAAAAGCTGTTTTTCCCCTGACAAAAAGACGACATTTACTTGCAATGTTTAGGGGAACCGGTGTTTGTTTGTTTGAATTTACACCAGCCGTGTTTATTTTGAAATTCCTCATTTTGGATTATTTTGTTTTTTTTCCGTTTTTTTCTCACAGACAAAGCGAGCAAGTAAGTGAGTGAGCCACTAGTGGTTGCAAAGAAAAACACCCCGGTCCCGTTTTCTTTTCTTTTCTTCTGAAATCACGCCTGGGGGGCCAGGTGTTTTTTTGTTTGAAATCACGCCTGGGGGTCCCGGTGTGTGTGTGTGTGTGAACTCACGCCTGGGGGGTCCCGGTGTTTTTGGTTTTTTGAAATCACGCCTGGGGGTCCCGGTGCTTGTTTTGTTGCATTCCTGCCTGTGGGCCGGGGTGTTTTTCCTTTTGAATTCACGCCTTGGGGATCTGATTCTTTTTGAATTCACGCCTTTGGGCTCGTGATTTCAAAAAACACACACCTAGACCCTAGACCCTCCAGGCGTGATTTCAAACACAGAAACACCTGGTCCCCCAGGCGTGAGTTCAAAATATGTGATTCCAAAGAAAGACACACCCGAGCCCAATGTTTAGGGGCATCCCCACCTACCCTTTGGGCCACGTTGAGGAGTTAGAAAGGAGTTGGTAGCTGCTTAGGAACCAACAGGCCCATGAGAGACACAGAGAAGCAGCCTCATTTTGAGGCTTTTTTGGGTACAGTACCAAACCCAGAGGGTCCAAGTACCTGCTAAGGAGGGACGTAGACCCCTTTGTACCCCCCCCAGACCTGTTTGGATTTTTCTCTTGAGGAGCGGTGAGTTTTTCTGTCCTTCGCTTTTCGCAGACGAGAACGGCGCTCCAAGCCGCGGGGTTTTCTCTGCGAGGCCAAGCGGCAAGCGGAGGAGGCCAAAGCCGCGCATCAGCAGATGATCTCGGCCAAGGAGGTGCCAGACGCGGACGGACGCAGCGTTGGTTTAACGCCCAGCTTTGGCTGGGCGGTTTTCCCTGGCAAGATCATGCCATAGTAACCTTATGCCAGGTTTTGGGGGCTTTGTTTTTTTTTTGTGCGGGTCTTGGTGTTTCTTTTGCATGAGCCTTTGTTGAATTTCATGGAAGTGGGAGTTTGGGGCCTTGGGTGGATTGCTTTAAACCAGAACCCTCCGATCTATGTTTGTCAAACTAGGAGCCCAAACATGGTGGATTTTCCTGGTGGCCCTGTCGATTCCATTGGAAAGACTTGGTATCCGGGGTTATTTCTGTGACGTTCGGGGCCTGGATGAGGGATTCTGGAATCCCCTTTGAGGGATTCCGGGATTCCGGACCACTCCCGGTGTTCCGACCAAAATCTGGGTTGCCAAGCAATTAGTATATTCGGATAGATAAAATGCTGGATTCATTAAGGAATTGTTGAGTCTTATAGTCTTATTTTTGATTGAAACGATGGGGGGAAATCACGGGAGATCCGCCGACAGCCCCTTTTCGTGGATTCCACGTCGCAAAGATAAGCTACAAGCAAGACCTGACTGAATCAAAGAAGGTTAGTAGCGGACAATCGCAGCCAGGGAATGAAGCCGCTGTTTGCCTTGTTGATTCTTTGTCCTGGCTTTGGGTAGACCCCGTAAATGCCAGGTTTTTATTATACAGACACACACACACACACGCAAACACAAACGCACACGCAAACGCAAACACACACACACACACACACAGACACACAGAGACACACAGACACACAAACACCCGGAGACGCACACACGCAGACACACAGACACGCGGACACGCAGACAGAGACACACCGACACACAGACACACCGACGCACCGACACACCGAGACACCGACACACGGACACGCCGACACACCGACACACAGACTCACAGACTCACAGACACACAGACACACCGACACACCGACACACCGACACACCGACACACAGAAACACAGAAACACAAAGACACAAAGACACAAAGACACAAAGACACGCAAACACTCGCGTTCTGTCCCAGGGATGTGTTTTTGAAGGCATCTCGTCGGCTAATGGTAAGTGAGTGTCATTGTCGTGGAGGGATGTTATGCAATAGATGCTGCGAAGCCCTGTTTTAGTGTGGTGCTGCCGCAGCCTTTCAATCGACTATCATGACTGACACTCTGCCTTGGCAGTTTGTCCAAACTGAGGTTCGTTTGAGAAAATGAAAGGACTCCCGTGAAGTGTGGAATCCCCTGGTTTAAGGGTGTCTCTTTGTTTGCCTAAAACAGAGGGTTAAAAGGTGTGACCGCAGGCCGGTGGGAGCCATCTGAAGCCAAGAGGACCAAAATGTTTGGACAAGAGTGTCCTCAAACATGTGCAGGGATTTGGCCCAATTCTGGTGTACAGAAAAAAGGAGGCCTTACATCAAAGGCTGAATGTATGCATGTGTAAAGCCCTGGGTATCAACCTCTAGTTTATATAGATAGCTTTAGCCAAATGGGCTTCTCAAGCCAGAGGAATAGGTCTAAAATGGATAGGTTCGTCTACGGCTCCAAAGCCCCAGCCGGCAACCTGCGGGGTTCGCCTGCCAGACAAACCTCCAGAAGCAACTGGCCAAGGCTGTGCAAGAGGAGCTTTGCATGGCAATTGTTTGGCGTCCGAAAAAGCCATGCGAATCAAAAGAATCGCAATGTGATCCTGTGAAATGTATGGAATATATTTTCCCCCTAACAGAACGTCATGCGTTTCCAGGTACCGGGTACAAGGGAAATCATGAAAGGCGACTTCCGCTACCGGTTGTGGTTGTGTTGGATTGATTGGGATTGGCCAACTCTTCTCACTCGTCCACAGCGAATCGCCCTTTGGACCTTTTGGTTTTCCCCTTCTTGTCCATGTATAATCAAGGTTGCAAAAGGGACACCTTTGGTTTTTGGGTCCTTTTCAGCTCTACCTGGGGTGGATCGGCAGGGTCCTGGACCCTCAACACAGGGATGCTAGACATTGTTCGACGAATGTTGAGCCGGGACGGATCAACCTGGTGGAGGGTTAGGATGTTTATCTAGAAAGTGAAGGGACATCCGATCCCCCTTTTATTTTAATCAGCAAACGAAAAAATAATCCAGGGTTCTCATTAAGGGCTACAAGAACCCGGATTATTCTCCACAGCTATGGGGCCTTAGCCAATCCTAGTTTAGGGCGGTCCGAAGGCAAGTTCTGGAGATAATTTGTGTTTTTGCCGATGCTGTCGTGGCTACTTCTGGGATCTGTGTTTACAGTTGGGAATCATTGATTTAGGATTCGCTTCCCCCTGCTTCTAGGGAAAAGGTTCGGCTATGAATAAGGTTTTACAGCAGAAATCAGGGATGTAGGTATCCTCTTTATTCCGGGCTTGGATTTAGATGCGCTTTTGGCAGAAGGCATGAGCAATGGTGCCATCAGCTGTTTGTTCTGATGATGATCCGAATGTGTTACTTATTCTTCAATGGCCTCAAAATGCGGGGACCCCCAAAGTCGTTTCACATGTTCTTGAACGTGCCTCCGTTTTTGGTGTGGTTTCAGACCAAAAGGAACACTATGATTGTGGGGACCCGGTCCGATTCCAATTTTGAGACAGTCCGACAGGAGAACTACGAGCTGGCGGAAGAGCTACAGAAGAAAGCCGCTGGCAGCGCTGAGCGCCTCGACCCGGACGGAGCGCGAGCGAGTCTCCGGGGGGAGGCCGTGAAAACAGAAACCAACGGCCACTTGAGTGGTTTGGGACCCCCCAAAACAAGTCTCCAAAGGTGAGAGTGTCAGTGAGGCTAATACGCAAAGCCGAGAAAGGCTTGGTTAGGGACCCGCCCCCCCAAAGAAAACAACAAAGGTTAGGGTGTCAAGGGCTGGCGCAAGGCCAAGTAAAGCTGAACAAGGCCTTGCTGGTGGGGGGAGGGTCCCTGAGAAGGGTTCTGCCTACCTGGCCACTGCCACAATGTAAAGTGAGTTATTACTTCCCAACTCGCTAGACTTGAGTGCTTGGATGTTCAACGTGCTTGGGTGATGTCGCCATGATTATTTGGACCAACCGAGGTCGTCCCAGGCAGAGCCATGATTGTAACCTATATACTTGCCAAGTGGGTTGCATATCCGACTACTGGAGCACATTCTCCTACCCAATGTTGGCCAGAGCCTTCAGATGAGTTTTGCCAGCTTGGTGAAACAAGCATGTTGGAATAGGTTGACCCATACACACTCAGCAAGTAGGCCGCCGAAATGTGATGATTACTCCAAAATGGCGCACGAGCAGACACCAAACCCCCATTGGCCATTTGTTCAGGCTGCGTCTACGCGCGGATATGGTTTGCCTGAAATATTGATTCAATTCACAAATGCAAAGGACTTGCACTGCCAGACAAGCTGAACTGGCAACACAACCAATATCGATCACAGGTGGCACAACACATTTTAGAATCAAGGTGGCCGCGCCTCCTTTTGAGGATTTACGCCTTTCTCGAGACCAGGCATACAGCCTTGTTTTGGCGTAGGAATGGCATGCAAACAGCACTTGGCGTGCTCAACACGGAAGCCGCGCAGCGAAAGAATGAGTAAATGAAACGCTACTGTTATCTTTCATTTGTGCGGAACAACTACATGCGTTGCTTCAAAGGCAAGCATGTTGAGCACACACACACACAGAATAGATCGTGATCTACCTGTCCCTCTCTGGTAGGGAAGTTGTACTGCTGTCTAAAGTTTGGTTGACGCCCTCAAATATCTCACAGTTTTATGGTGATGTCATCCGAGTGTGCATTTGAGGGACAACCAAAGCCCCCAGTTTCAAACTCCCCGAGAAAAAAAATGTTGAGACCTTCTTTGGAGGGGTTTTGAGAAGCCTTTCTGCGGTGTGGGGACCTCCGGTTGTCTCTCCGTATGTACAGATTATCCCTGAGAAGGGCAAAGCGACGCTCAGCTGAAACGGGGTTGCAATGGATCTATCATGATCATTAGTTCGCTTTTTTTGTCGTCTTAGCGGCTGGTTGCACAAAAGTCTCCCTCCCTTCCAACATTGAAGCTACCAGAAAGCCACGAGTCCGTCTTTCTGTTTCCTAGCTGGCGTGTAAACTTTGGCATGCCTGGAACAATCAGCGCCTCGCTGAGGTCTCCTCCAAAACTGTGTTTTGTTTGTTTAGGGTAGACTAAAGGTTATGAAACATCTGAAGATACGATTTTCTTTGTACAGATGTGGCAGTTCAACGTTTGCATAGATAATATGTTCCTATCGCGTAGGAAACCACCCTTCGAACACTGAACGGATAGATACGTACTGAAAAGAGCAGGGTACTTAGTAAGTGGTTACTAAGCCTGGATATAACCCACTTACGCGACTTATAACCATGGTAAGTGGGTTATACCCAGGCTTCTGGCAACCACTTACTAAGTGCCCCGCCCGTTTAAGTAGTGGTTATATACCGAGATGCGGGCCAAGACTTGAGCCACCCGCGCTTGTGAGCCTGCGAGGCTGCAGCCGAGTCGCCCCGGCGCGATGCAGATTGTGGCGCGGTGTGCTGGGGAAGCCAAGCCCGAAGTCCGAAGTTCGACGCGCGGGTGCCGAACCGGGTTCCTTTTGTGTGGTGCCCGTTTTGGGCTAGGCTCAAAGGGAAGCCAAAGGAAAACGCGAGTAGGGCCCTATTTGGACAAAGCAACGTGAGCCACTTGCTCAAAACCCGGGTAGATGAAGGCCAGTAAGGGGCAGTCCCAGCCAGAAATAGCTGCGGATATCCGCCTTCTTAATTCTTTACATGGTTCTGGGTAGACCATTTTAATACCGGGTTTTGATTGTGACTCACGTATTCTCCGTGGTATTTTTTGCACCTGGCCAGTTCAAAGCGAGTTTCCATTTGCGGTTTCGCGGAAACAAATTGGAAGCCCTGCACGCTTTTGGGGCCGGAAGGGCCCTTCGAAGGTCTCCGGGGAAACTGAGCCTAGAGGTTTTAGGTCCCCCAGTAATGCCCTTTCTCAGCCGTTTCTTTTTTTGCGGAGGGTTCCCCTAAAATAGACACACAGAAAAAACTCGGGTACCAACTTATTCTAACCTCTTTGCTGGAGGACCTAGTAGAGCCTGACTCCAATCATGATGGTTACGCCACTCTTTGCAGCTTCGGAGTTGCTGTGAACCCCCCTTTCCCGAGTCTCAACATCCAAAGTCTAGATTGTTTGCGATTCGAAATAGTTGCACCCACTTGACTTATGGATCAAACTTGGCGCGATCGTTTGCATTGGGGAAGTGGCACCTAGTTGCCGATGTGTGCTGTGTTGCTGGAGTTCATGCCCTAAAAGAAAAGAAGAGACCGCATCCTTCTCAATCCTCCTGGGATTATTCGGAGCCCCATGATCTTACAGGCTGCAAACACACTCCCTCGGGTTGGTGGCCTCGCATACTTGGAAGCACCTTTCTGCTGGCTACACACGTTAGGTTTGTTGGTTGCTTGGTTTGCTTGCTTGCTTGCTTGCTTGGTTTGCTTGCTTGGTTGCTTGGTTG